TTTGCTGAAACCATCTACATCCAACTACAATGCCAAAATTTCCCAGAAACATCACAGAAAAGACTTCTCTACCTTAAAAAGTTCTGTATGATCAGTTCACTCGATCAAAAATACGAGTCAGGAAAAAATCCCAAAATTTGTCCTATGATTTTGAATCAGGAAAAGATCCCAGATTCCTGCCAGTTCTTGCTTCTGGGATCCTTGTTATAGACAGTAGAGTCCATTTTATTCCAAATCGAATCTGCTAGAAAGTCACAGACCCAGGAGTTTTTTTTCCCTCCCCCAACCCCAGGGATGTTTATTCCTCTGGCCTGTGATGCTGTGACATTCTGAGCAGCTTCACGTGTCCTCTAGCGAAAAGGAAGCTCCCTGCATGTAGAGGGTGCACGCTGATCCTTTGAACCCTGGTGACCTTTGTGGCACACATAGCTCTTAAACCAGAAGTCAGGGCACCTGCAATATCACATTTAATATCAGCGCTTCTGAACAAATCAGGGCCGCTGGTCACCATGAGTGTGTATAGGAGATCCCTACTGAAAAAATGGCGATCAGATCAGAAGTCACCACCAGCCATACATTCAGGATCTGTGGCGGTTGCCTGGGAGACTGCAGATTTGGAAATTGGATTTCAGGGTTACTGTTTGGTGGCAGACTTCAGAGGTGTCAGGTGCCACAGGCACTCAGTAAATAGCTGGTAGATGATGGTGATGGTGCCATGAGGACGAGAATAATGGTAGTGAGGTTGGTCTCTCAGTGTCCCTGGGTTAAGGTTTGGAACTGGATGTTCCAGAGGTGCCACTTACATGTTTAGCCACGTGAATGTTTATAAGCACAAGAGGGAAAGGGAATGAGTTATGCAAGAAAAAAAAACAGTGTGATTGACCCTTGAACAACACGGGTCATATGTAATGTGGGGCGACAACCTTCTGTGCAATGAAATATCCAAATGTAACTTCTGACTCTCTCAAAACTTAAGTACTAATAGCCTACTATTAACTCAGAAGGGCTCATAAATAACAAGGAGTTGATTAACATGTTTTTAAGTTACCTATATGATATACTGTAATCCTATAGTAAAGAAGCTAGAGAAAAGAAGGTATATTAAGAAAATCATCAGGAAGAAAAAAATGCCTTTACAGTCTTGTCCTATGTTTGCTGGAAAAAACCCACATATATGTGGGTCCACGCCATTCAAACCCATGCGGTTTAAGGGTCAACTATAAAAATTATAGGGCCTATGCTCACCTTACTTCAAGAATCTGCAGACAGTTATGAATTCACATTTGACTAGTGTGTCCTGAGTGCCCACCAGGTGCCAGGTACCACACCTCCACAGCCGGCTGTGACCCACAGGCCTGTGAGGTGATGGATGTACACACTATCTTGTGGGCTCAGTCAGGGGATAGAAACTGGATTAGCCAGAGGACATTTAATAGATTTATTCCATGTGGCAAAAGAGTTCAGTTAGCTATAGGGACACTATCTAGTTTTCTCGGGCTGAGGGAGTTGACCCAAAGAAAGGTTGGGCACCGAGAAAGCTGTGTGGTTCAGCCCATGGTATAGCAGAGACAGTCACTGGTTTGGCCAGGCTGGAGCTGGTCCCAGGTTGCTGGCAAGCAAAGGCTACTCTCTGCATGGGGGCAGGAGAGCAGCCAATCAGCTTCGGGCAGCAAGGGTGGCAGTGAGAGTCCAGGCGCCTGCTGGGGCAGGAGGCCTGCAGGGTGTGCAGGTTCCATGGGTCCTGGTTGTCCTGTAGCAAGGGCTGCGGGAAGGTTATCCCGCACATGATAGATGGACACATTCTGGGCTTTGCTGCATGTCTCCAAACACACGCTGCTGACCTGGGCCAGCAGGAGAGCCCCCACTTGGCATTGCTCGTCTGCGCCCTCCAGCAAGGAAGCTCAGCATCGAGCTCCCTACAGGAGACCCAGCTGCAGGGACCAACAAGTCACCGGGCAAGTGTTGATGGGGCATTGGGAGCTGCGAGTCTATAAAGTGACAACAGTCGCCCACACCCACCTGCGGGTGCCCGCTGCCCACCCCATCTAAGGGAACAGCCCTCCCTCTCTGCAAATTCTGGGCCTGGCCTGTGTCCACTCATTGCCAGACTTCCCTGCTGGGGCACTCAGTCTCCCCTTTTCCATCCTAGGCCTGGAATGCACTGGGATGAGCAGGGTCACTGGGGGAGTAGACAGATTTTAGCACCTCCCCTTCTGTGTTGGTCTACTTTAAAAGATCCGTTTCTAGAAACGTCAGAGGTCAGAAAGTCTGAGTCTTTGCTGGAATTTGTTGGACTCTGTTAGTTGCTGATATGGGGCTGATGCTGAGGAGCCCTTTTATCTCTCAAACCCAGGATTTAAGAAGCTAGCAGATCCCCTTTCTAGACTGAGATACAGAGGCACGGAGAAGCCTTCCCCTGCATTGTCTCTCCTTTTCTATCTAATAGATGATATGTAATTTGGATACAGACATCACTTATTTTCCGTTTTCAAGTTCACATTGGATTATACCTAATCTTTTAGTGCAAGGGCAATGCCCGTGTATCCTGGGGACCGAATTCAGAAGACAGTTTCCAGGGCATCTTTTCTGACACATTTGATCCGTTTCCCGCCGTCTTGTAACTGGAGCTGTCAGTCTGCCGTGAGGCCTGTCTGCCTGCAAGCCGGGCTGCTGACACTTGCCTCGTTCCATGCTACCCGGATACTGGTCCCATCTGGGGCCCTCGCCCAGGGCTCTGCGTGGGTGCCAGCTCAGAACCAGCCACGAGTCACCAGACCTATGAAGTGGGGTATGCAGCTCATTCAGGGAAAACTCTCCCCATCTCCAGGCTAGAATTCCAGAGACTTCCCTCTCCTCACCATTGAGGTCACTCTTCACCAAGTCCTGGCAAGTCCCCCGTCCCCTTCTCCTTGTCTGAGTGACCGCACAGAGCCCATCTCCCGTGATACAATCTACCTCTGAACACTTCATTGGAGGTTGGTGAGCAGAGAGTGCATAGCAGGTGCTTCCAGCCTGTGAGAGCCACTTTCCTGTCTGACCTTGGGTGGGTCCTTCTGCAGTCTGGCTTCCGTGTCTCTCCCCAGCCTTGTTCTCTGTTTACCCTATGGGCCTCATCTGCCCAGGCCAGGCCTGCCCCTGTCCTCACAAGCCAGGGCAGCCCCTTGGCAGGGCCCATCATCACATCCTAGGTAGGTGCTCCCACCCTCTGAGGGTGCCATTTTGGACTTCTGTGGTGATGCCATACTTAATACTTTCTGACTCACTAATGGGTTCCTGTATACATTTGATTTTCCTGAGTGCATTGTTGTAACCTTGCAAGCAGGGACTGACTCCAAAGCTTCTCTGGCTTCCCCATGGTCCACAGTAGGCATAAGATGGACCCTGCATAGCTGACAGAGAAGCCCAAGCCGGGTGAAGGAGTAGGGCCAACAGTAGGGCCATGCCACACTTACTACCACTCCTAGAGGTCAGGATCCCTAGTCATAGAGGACACCCGCACTGCCTTCAGGGACCTGACCTTGCCCGTCTTTAGGCTAATGCCCCAGATCAGGTCTCGCTGGTGGAGTTTGCAGAGTCCCTACAAAAACACCTCTCTAACAGCTCCAAGTTACATCCCTAACCTGCCCAGCCCTCCTCTGTTCATCTTTAATTCATGCATATGGGTGCTGCTGTGCCTGGGGACTTGCCTAAGAGTGGTGTTGTCCCAGGGAAATCAGTGACCTATGCGATGACACCTGACAGGGACTGATTGGGGTTTGGGCCCTGGGTACAGGAGTCCAGGGAGGGTCTACGAGGGTGGGGCCGGCATCTTGTCCAACAAATGCCTGGTGACCCTGGGTCAGCTGAGGATGGGTCCTGAGTTGCACATGGGGCAGGGGGCCTGAGCCCCCACATTGCCCACATGTTGGGCAGGAGGGCCCCTGCTGAGCCGTGAGTGGCTGTCACTGTTATGGCAGCTGACCCATCAGTGAGGTCAGGGCACCGTCGCCCGGCTCCTCCAGCCCACCTTCCAGGTCTTGGCATGCTGCAGCCACGGATAAGCAGCTTCCCAGGGCCAGGAGGGGGCCTCAGTGTGACCAGGTTGAGCCCAGCAGGCCCAGGAGCTGACAGCAGGCTCCTAGCCCTCCTCACCTCCCCGTGCCAATCCAGAAATTCATCACAAGCAGTGTGACACACCCTCTTCCTTGATCCTGGGTTGTACGGTGATTCTTTTACCCCTTCTGGGGAAATAGCTCTTAAGCAAACAACGAGCAAATTGGCCTGAGAGTGTTTATCTCTGCTTTCTTTAGATGCATCTAGAATTTTAAAAAGAGAAAAAGCCACAGGGGGTTTGCACACACTGAATAGCCCGCCAGGCAGTGTCACTTTGGGTTAGCTGAGTGACTGCTGCCAGCCTCAGCGCAGCACCCACAGCAGCACGTCAGACGGATTAGGCCTGCACATTCACTCCCGTGGAGCGCAGTGGCACCCAGGCGGCCAGCGGGGGTGAGGGAGACAGGAGCCCGTGTGACTATCCCCAGAGCCAGGGCTGGGCCAGGAGCCAGGCGCCCAGTGCTCTCAGGTGGTCCTCTCCCCCAGCAAGTTCCGGGGGGCGTTCCTTGTGCAGCAGCAGCTCCTTGATCTCTGTTCACGTGCAGTGGGTCCAGTCTGGGTGTCACAGTGTCATGGGCTCTTATGACAGGAGTCACACCTGCACTGCTCTTAGCGTTTCTGGGCCAATGTAGCATCCCGTGGCCTGGCCCTCAGGGCTACACCCTGACTCCCAGGGCTCTTTCTGGGATAGACCACGGGGCCGGTCCTTGTCTTGTGGGGCATCCCCTCCTTGACAGGTGGCCGGGTCGCTCACCTTGCCGTGCAGATTCAAAGAGGCCGGGCCCTGCCCTCCTCCTGGGGCAGGGCCCATGAGACGGACAGCAGCCCCCACTCGGTGATGCTCCCGTGGGCCCCTGGCACCCGGCGCGAGGCTCGGCAGCGACTCAGGTGCCCGTGCTTCCCTGCAGGGCCTGATGCACTCCAGCGGCCCCGTGGGCCGGCACCGGCAGCTGGTCCTGGTTCTGGAGGGGGAGCTCTACCTCATTCCTTTCGCCCTCCTGAAGGGAAGCTCCTCCAACGAGTACCTGTACGAGCGCTTCGCCCTCATCGCCGTCCCCTCCATCCGCTCCCTGGGCCCACAGTCCAAGGTAAGCCTCGCTGGGGCTGCGGGTGCCCCGCTGTGGGCCCCAGAGCCGGCCTTCCCGGCCAGCCTTCACAGTGTGCATTCCGTAGTTGGCGGCCAGGGAGGCTGCCCTTGGGAGTCCATATGTGCAAGAAGGTAGGTGGCGGGCGGCCCTCCTGCCCCGACTGTTCTGTGCTATCCCAGGAAGCCACGACGTGTCATTTCTCTGAAAATGTCTTTGCCGTGACAACAGGGTTGTGAACCACTCAGAGGGCTGGGTTGGGCTCGAGGCGGGGCTGAGTATCTGAGGAAGCTGGTTTCCCCTGGCGCACCCTGACCTCGAGCTGACCACCGACGGGGCGCGAGTCTGCCCACAGCGGAGGTGCCGCAGGCAGGGATGGAGGACAAATATGATTACTGTCCAGTGGAAGAGGGTCCCACAGGCCAGCGAAAGAACTGAACACAAACGAGGTGGCTTTCAGGAGACAGACAGGATTTGAGTCTCATTCAGTAAAAGTCAGTCTGGGCAGAAATGTCTGTGAAAATCAAGGAGGCGACAGTGGGCCGTCCACAGAGTCAGAGGTCCCACCCCGCAGCCACCCTTGGCCTGCGTACCCGGTTACCCGGTTAGAGAGCCTTCCAGCCAGCCCTGATCCCCTTCCCCTTCTCCAAACTCTTTCAGACCCTCCTGGCCCCCAGCCCCCGGGCCTGCACTGCGGCTACCCCACCTGCCCCAGCTGGCTGGCTCAACCTTCAAGCTTGAGCTGCTCTCAGAGCCCGCAGATCACCAGGCAGAGCTGGGTCAGACAGGGCTCCTCCCAGTGGGAGAAAGTGGCTCGTTTAGGAACCCAAACCCTGGGCCCTGGGTGTGGGCGGCCCCCACGGGACCTGCCGTGGCCTCTGTTGACCTCGGTCAATGACATGGTTCAAACCAGGTCAACTTCTGCCTCACAAGGTTTCAGAAATCTTTGTTTTGACTGTTTCCTGTTGCTGGGTTGTAACTTTCTTGTGGAACAGGATCAAAGTGAAAGAAATGATCTTCCCTGAGTTTTTTGAGTGTCCGTGGCTGACTATGAATCCCAGTTGCAAAGTGAGCCGGCCTCTTGGGACATGTCCTGCCCAGAGCACCCTGGCAGTCAGAGATGGCCCGCGCTAGGAGAGCTTCGTGGTGATGACACTGCAAGCTGGCTGCTTGCCAGGCTAGCCAGGGTCTCCTGACAGACGCCCAACAGGTGCTTCTCATACCCAGAGTTTGAGGCATCACCAAGTAGAGCCACCAGAAAGTTATTGTGAAATAATGTGATACTTAGATGTTTCCCCAAAAGCCGAAAGGCATCGTTGGGGGAAAATCAGAACTTTGCTGGACTTCTCTATGCTGATTTTATGACTTCTCTATGCTGATGATTTTATTTGCAGCACGTAAAGCAGATGACAACTATCATCTTTTCAGTACGTTGTGCCTGTTCAGGGCTTAGGCTAGCCCTGTCTCCACTGAGAGTGACTTGGCCTTTTGTCACCCTCAGAGCCCTGACTCATTGGAAGTGGGTCTCCCCCTGTTTGGGGGCCCACAGCGCAGTCTGTGGGAGCAAGACGCGTGGGGCAGGCCTCCTGCTACAGCGCCTCCAAGAGGGGCCCTTCCTAAGATCCAGTCCTGATTTTCAAGAGCTTACATAGTAGCAGGTGTGATGCTCAGGAGGACGAGCAGCTGGGTCAAAATGGTGTTGAAAATTAGAGGGAAGGAGGTTATTGGGAGACCAGGTGTAGCCGACCTGGACCCAGCCTTGTGCTCACCAGGAGCCTCAGGCCACCGTCTGATGGGTGGCGTGGTCTGCTTGTCTGTCTTCCCCTCCCAGTCTCACCTGAGGAAGAACCCGCCCACATACTCCAGCTCCACGTCCATGGCGGCCGTTGTCGGTAACCCCAAGCTCCCGTCAGCAGTGATGGACAGGTGGCTGTGGGGGCCCATGCCGTCGGCCGAGGAGGAAGCGTACATGGTGTCAGAGCTGCTGGGCTGCCAGCCCCTGGTGGGCAGCGTGGCCACCAAAGAAAGGGTCATGAGTGCCCTGACGCAGGCAGAGTGCGTCCACTTTGCTACCCACATCTCCTGGAAACTGTCGGCCCTGGTCCTCACACCCAGCGTGGACAGCAACCCCGCCGGCAGCAAGAGCTCCTTTGGCCACCCCTACACGATCCCCGAGTCCCTGCGGGTGCAGGACGATGCCAGCGATGGGGAGAGCATCTCGGACTGCCCGCCCCTGCAGGAGCTGCTGCTCACGGCGGCCGACGTCCTGGACCTGCGGCTTCCTGTGAAGCTGGTGGTCCTCGGCTCCTCGCAGGAGTCCAGCAGCAAGGTCACCGCTGACGGGGTCGTCGCGCTGACGCGGGCCTTCCTGGCTGCCGGCGCCCAGTGTGTTCTCGTGTCTCTGTGGCCTGCGCCTGTGGCTGCTTCCAAGATGTTTCTCCACGCCTTCTACTCCTCCCTGCTGAATGGCCTGAAAGCCAGCGCCGCCCTGGGGGAGGCCATGAAGGTGCTGCAGAGCAGCAAGGCCTTCTCACACCCTTCCAACTGGGCAGGTAGGAGTGTGGACCACCTGCCAGCACCTGTCAGGGGACCCCAGGGCTAGGTCCTTACAGCCTCCCGGGGGAGGGGGGCAGGACAGGGCGCTGGGGAGAAGCAGCGTAGGGAGGTGCAGGAGAGGGCTTTGTTTGCTGAGACACTTGTCTTCTGCCAAAACCAGTCATTTGGCATGTGGTATTAGTCTTTTTTTTTTTTTACAATTTTATTTATTTATTTATTTATTTATTTATTTATTTATTTATTTATTTATTTATGAGAGGTTGCATGTGAGCATGGGGGGAGGGGAGGGCAGAGGGAAAAGGAGAGAGAATCTCAAGCAGACTCCCCACTGAGTGTGGAGCCCGACTCAGGGCTTGATCTCACGACTCTGAGATCCCGACCTGAGCCGAAATCAAGAGTTGGACGCTCAATGGACTGCACCAACCCGGCACCCCTAAAGTAGTCTTTGTGACTAGAGAGCAGCAGATGAGTCTGCCATTGGAGTATGAGCATAGGCTTCTCCTGGGACTAGAGTGCTGGTTGACTCATTTTATGGCGCCCTGTGGCATCCCAGGACTGTAGCAAAGAGCCACATTGTAGAAAGCCCCTTAGTTCAGCCATCGGGTTTGACCTAGCTCTGTGCCGGGCTGTGACGTGAGACAGGTCTTACCCCTTCTGAAGTCTTGTGGCACATGTACTACACATTCTGGAAGGCCGACAGCACCTGCTCTGATTGGGCCTGCCACAGGGGTTGCAGGTCTGGGAGTGAAGGGAATGTTCTCTGTGACGTCTGGTCATAGGAGGTGCGGCAAGGGGTGACCCGTGGACCCTCCCATGTGGGAGGCCTCCCGACAGGCTGCCAAGCCAGAGTCCAGCCCCACCCCAGCCTCCCTCCCACGTGGCCTCACCCAGCGGGGCCACATTGCTGACACCCCCCGGGGCCTTCAGTCTGCGGCTGTCCCTCAGGATTGGCTCCTGAACATCCCCAGATGCTCCAGAGCAAAGGTGAAGTCCCACCAAGGCCGGAGCGATGGCACTGACCCACAAACACAGGGTCTTAAACTGGAGAAACAGAGGAATGCCCCAAATGGTATTTTCAAACATTTATATTTTGTTTTAATCCACATACACATTGAAAAACTGGCAACAAAACCGCTTTCATCTGGCTCTTCCTCTGGAAATAAATGCGGTCTGCGTGTGCCACCACGGTTGGTGCCATTTCCCGCGGTGGGGAGGCCCCGAGGAGGAGCCCCTCATCCCCGGCACCCCTGGCCCAGGAGCCAGCACACCCCGAGCTGCGGGGCTGCGGGCCAGGTGGATGAGCGGCGGTGAGGAAATGGAAACGTGTGTTTACTTCACAAACACAACACCACCCCGGTGCTTCCCAAAAAGGTATTCAGAACAAACGAAATAGAAGGCCATCCTGTTTCCTCGGGTGGCCCAGGGGGAGGAGGGGCAGGAGGGCCAGTGAGGGCCGGGGCCTGCCTCCTCCAGCTGCGGAGAGCAGAGGGCCCAGCAGAGGGGCCGGCGGGGCCTTCCGACTGCCGCAGCCGGAGGTCTGACTCCCGTGTGCCCCCGGCAGCCAGAAGGGGCTTTGGGCCCCGCATGGTCCCCCAGCACAAACTTGCTGTGCTGAGTTTGTGGGAGCCCGGCCTCTGTGCTTGGTGAGCCCCTCCCCATCTTCCCAGTGTGTCCATGGATATGGTGTTTTTGTCCTTGTTTTAGGGAGAGATGATACATGAGTCACCACTCAGTGCTGGAAAATGGTGTTTAAATCACGCTGCCCTGCTAACCCTAAAAACAGCCTTGGCTCATTCATGCTCTTGGAAAACCCCCTTTCTCCATCACTTGAGGGCAGCTTGGTCCTCAAGTTGCTTGGTGGCTGGAGGAGACCGCTCTGTCCGCCTCCCCCAGGCCCCTGCAGCTGGGAGTGGGGCAGGATCCAGGTAGATGTGTGGGTCCTCGGCAGCCCAGGCTGCTTGCTCCTTCCTACAACCAGAGCAGAGTACCTCCTGCCCCACACCTGGTGGCTCTGTCCCCGGGCGTGTCCCAGACACAGGTGCATCTCCGGGGAAATGGGGCTGATCATTCCTTGGGATGGTGGCCAAACCTAGGAAGGGCCCTGGGGCCTGGGGGGAGCCCATCAGCGGGGGGTGGGGGGGACTACGAGGCCTCTTCCTGCCTTCCTCACTGTGTAGCAGGAAAGCAGAGGCACTTTCCTGAGCAGCTTTCACGGCGAAACAGTGCTCACCACTCATTGAACAGAGAAACAGTATGGATTATTTTTCTTAATTTTTGTTTTATTTTATTTTTAAGATTGTATTTATTTGAGAGAGAACAAGAGAGCACAAGCAGGGGGAGGGGCAGAGGGACAGGGAGACACAGGCTTCTCGCCGAGCAGGGAGGCTGACATGGGGCTCGATCCCAGAACCCCAGGATCATGACCTGAGCAGATGGCAGATGCTTAACCAACTGAGCCACCCAGGAGCCCCAAAACAGTATTGGTTCTTAAAAGGGGCACAAGGACACTGAAGGGCCCCCGGTGAGTTAGACATCCCATAGTCTGTTCCGTGGAGGAGCTTTGCTGTGTAGCCCCTCTTGGTGGCAGGGTGGCTGTGAGGCCCTGGCGGGGCGGGGTGGGGGGACACCGACCAGCCCGAGCTGCCCTGCCGAGCTGAGGGCGGGCTCTGAGATGCCCTTCTGTGTCCTCCACAGGGTTCACACTCATCGGGAGTGACGTTAAACTGAATAGTCCCTCGTCGCTCATCGGCCAGGCCCTCACGGAGATCCTCCAGCACCCAGAGCGTGCCCGGGACGCCCTGCGAGTGCTGCTGCACCTGGTAAGGTCCCTCCCCCAGGCTCCTGGGGCCCCACTGCAGATGTGTGGGTCCTCGGCAGCCCACACTGCCGAGAAGGGAGGCTGCGGCCTGTCCCAATCAACAGGGACATGAGCCAGGTGGAGGGGACCTTGTGCTAGGACATCCACAGGTTGAGCCAGTCGGTTGAATGGTGGGCATGATGTGTCATAGGGATGCTGCAGCCTCCTTGCCAAGGTCCTGGGGCCCACACTGCAGCTCTTTCTGGGGTGTGAAGATTTGGGCAAATCACCCGCATCTTTGAGCTTCAATTTCCTCATCTGGAAGGGGGATGTTTCCTGGTTATCTTGAGGCTTAGAGAAAAGGTGAGAAGCAGGCAGAAGTAGGGTCCTAGCGGCTAAGAGAGGATATTCTGGAGTCACATGGCACTGGCCTTCCCCTCAATTTGTTTGGAGGAAGAGTCCAGGCACTGACCCTGTATTTACCCAGTCCCAGCCTCTGTGGGGTCAGGGGTGACAGAGGTTCTGCATCATCGTCCACACATTGAAAAGTTAGAAATCAAGCTAAGCAGCAGTGACATAGAACTAGTTCCACCCTTCCACTTTGATAACCAGGAAGGCACTTTCTAACGTTGCGAATTGTTAGCCTCCGTGGAGTTCTGAGCAAGAAAGACCAGCCCAGCCCCACATGCTCCTTCCAGACCCGATGCACACAGCTGCCCCACTGCCACCCCAAAGGACAGAGGGGCACAGGCCCTGGGAGTGGGCTGGAGGCTATGGCTGGGGAGTTTAGTTTGGGGGCTGGGTTCCAGGGAACACGTCCCCTCTGCTGGGCAAACTTACTGCCCTGTGAGTCTGGGGCCCAGGGTGGTGGTGCTCAGGGCACTTCTGGTGGGAGGTCAGTCCTGTACATCCCTTAAGTTAGGGCTCACCTGATACCAGCGTGTGACCAGGTAGGAATGATGTCACTGAATACCCCAGGCAGCTCCTGAGCCAGCTTTGAGATAGCCCGCACCTCCTGCCCCCGGGAGCTGTGCTCACTTGCCTTGAGACTCTGTGAAGACTCCTGACTGATTTTAACCTGTTCCTGGAAACTGTGCAGAGCGATTCAGCTGCTCAGCATTAGGACCCCTTCCGGTCCCCATCAACCCAGAGTCCCCTCCTTCCTTGCTGCGGCTCCCAGGCAGCTTCTCTTAGGTAACTGAACCACCGTCTCTACCCACGTGGCTGTCTTCTCCCAGACCGGGCCGTGGAGCAAGAGCCAGGCCTTGGCTCCCCACTCGGCCTTGAGGCCCCTCAGGCATGTTTAGAGGTCGTCTCTTCTTTCTTGGCTTCATTTCCTGGGGTGAGTCCAGGGGCCATGGGTCAGGTTTACAAGCTACCTCCATTGCCCTTGACCCCAGTGGGCAATGTGTCTCCAAAGACCTTCCAGCCCGATGGCCTGGTTGTCCTGCCCAGGAACACTCGTGTCTTCCAACCTGTGAGGTCAGCCCCCAGCATCCCAGGGTGGTAGAAGGAAAGTCTTGGGTGACCTCTTGGATGACTCTTCTGCCCCTCTCATGATGGCACACGTGCCCCAGGGCATGCGGTAGTTCAGGATGGCCTGCAATTTCCCTGAGGGGGAGAGAAACCGCCAGGGAGGCCGAGGCCATTCCAAGTACCATGGGATACTCACCGGGGAGTTGACTAGCAGTTACTTGGACAAATTCAGCCCACGTGTGCCAGGCGTGGGTTTAGGCCCTGGCAGGTGGGAGGGGTACTTGAGGCCCAGGGGCCCCTGCTGTGGGATGGAGGGTGAGCCTGAAGTGCAGGGAAGAAGGGCAGTGGCAACCAGAGCCCTGTGGTGGGTGCTGCTTGGTGTAGGCAAGGGCTATGGGCCGTGAAAGGGGTTCCCGAGGGCCTGAAGGTTTATCCTGGTGGTGGGGGTCTTTACGTGGCCTGGGGCAGGCACTGGCCTGAGAGTGGGCTGTGGCGTCTGTGGAGGAGAGCCCAGAGCAGGAGGTGTGGCCTAGGGCAGGGACAGAATTCTTCTGTCTCCCAGCCTTGCTGACGCTGGAAAGTAACCCCTTTCCCTTCGGACCTTCCCTCTCGGGCTAGGCTGTTGCCACCATGCCTTGGTCCTCAGGCCAGGGTGTCCAGATGGCAGCAGGCAGCCCTGCACTGGCCTCAAACCTGAGGCTTCGGGTGCCCCCCAAGCCACTGGGAGAGAAGCCAGGGCCCGCCCGTGACTGGAGTGGTGCTTCATTCCCGCTTTCCTTCCAGGTGGAGAAGTCCCTGCAGCGCATCCAGAATGGGCAGCGCAATGCCATGTACACGTCCCAGCAGAGTGTTGAGAACAAAGTGGGTGGCATCCCTGGCTGGCAGGCCCTCCTCACTGCTGTGGGCTTCCGGCTGGACCCCCCTGCCAGTGGCCTGCCGGCGGCCGTCTTCTTCCCAACCTCCGACCCGGGTGACCGGCTCCAGCAGTGCAGCAGCACCATCCAGTCCCTGCTGGGTGAGCCTCAGGCGGGGCTGGGCCACCGAGGGGCTGGCTGCCAGCGTGGGCACAGTAGTTGGTGGCTGTGGGCCCTGCCTCACGAGGGGTGCTGGGCCTCACGGTGGGAAGGAGCGGGCATCCTGAGATGGCAAGGAGTTGCAGATGCAGGCCTCTGTGGATCTGGAGACCTGGAACACAGGGTGCACTCTGCCCCAGCAGGGCGCTGGCCCGGTGCCGCCTCTTCCCGGGCCGACAGGAAGGAACGCTGGGCAAACAGTGGCTGCCTTCGTGTTTAATCAGCAGTCTCGGATCCGCCGGAGCCGTGGCCAAAGACCGGGGTGACGCAGGCTGCAGGTGCCACGGCTGCCTTTTGTGCTTCATTCAGACCTGGGGCAGAGCCGGGTCCTGGGACTGTGACCACACACGGGGACGACTGGCCTTTCTCCAAGGCCCTTCTCTCTTTTCTCCAGTTAGACACAGACCCACACACCTGGCTGTCCTGAGCTTCTATAATGCCACCGATGTGGAGTGTCTCAGGCTCGGTGCCCGGGAAGGCAGCCGGGCTGTGGGTAACACCGTCCTCCTTCTCCGTTTAGGTCTGCCCAACCCTGCCCTCCAAGCCCTCTGCAAGCTCATCACTGCCTCGGAGACTGGCGAGCAGCTCATCAGCCGGGTGAGTTGAGCCAGGGTGGCTGAGCCCAGGCCCGAGGGCTGGGCTGAGCTGGAAGGACAGGGTGAATTGGCCCTACGTGGGAATCTGCAAGTGACTTGGTCTTGTTACCTTTTTCAGCCTCTGTGACTAGAAGGGAAAGATGAGGGCTAGGGGGGTGAAACAGCCCCCCACCCTGCCCCCTGCCAGGCACATGCACACCAGGGGGCAAAAGCCTCTCGTCTGTCTCTGCGAAGTGGGTTCCAAGAGCAGCAGGGCCTTCAGAGGATGCTTCAGGGGTCCCTGTGACCTGCAGTCTCAGGGCATTTCCTGACCTCTCCATTCAGTGGCCTCCTGTACCTTGTCACCACCCCACCTCCAACTCTTTCTGCTGATTGCCAAGTGTTACAGCCACACTTCCTGAGCCAGCAGGTGTCTTGATACTTATCCTAGATCAGAGTATAAGCCCTGCCACTGAGGCACAGCAGTGAACACAAAGTCACTCTAATGCAAGATACTGCTTAGCAGGTTAGGGGAACGGAGATCTAATCCGGGCATCAGGACGATGCTAACTCTCAGCATGGCACAGGCCCTTCCCAACTTGGCCTCAGAGCTCCTACTCTTCCTACCAGCCAGTGAGGGTCTGGACTGTGAACCCCGGGGTGACCACAGTGTGGGGGAGGGCTTCTCAATGGCATAGCAACCCCTAAAGAGCACAGAATAGTTTTCTCTGGTCGGTTGGTAGTGTAATAATTTGAAAAAACAACATATATCATTATTATTTATCAGATTTCATTTTATTTATTTTTTAAAGATTTTATTTATTCATGGAGGGGCGGGGAGAGGCAGAGACACAGGCAGAGGGAGAAGCAGGCTCCATGCAGGGAGCCTGATGTGGGACTCGATCCCGGGTCTCCAGGATCACGCCCTGGGCTGAAGGCAGCGCTAAACCGCTGAGCTACTTGGGCTGCCCACAGATTTCATTTTAAACGGAACTATTTCTGTATGGAAATAAAGCTGCTCTGTCTGGGATCAGCCTCTGAAAATCTGAGTGGTGCCTCGGGCTCCCACCCCCTGAGGGGGTTTCCAGCTCAGATTGGGAGCCCAGTTCAAGGACATGGACCCTTCTTGGGTTGCTGTTCATTTTGCAATAAGCTTGTTTGGTCTTCTTGTTGAGGAAAACCAGGAAGGCACTTCTAGAATCAAAACGTCCTGAGCCCAGGAGGGCTGGAAGCCTGTGCTTTACTAAAGAGAAAGTCAGAATTACATTTGCAGGGCAAGGCTGAGTCCCAGAAGCCAGCTGCTTAATGTCTTGCATTTGGTGGCATCACAGGGATTTCCCGCCTGTGATCCCGCTGGGCTGTGGGCTAGGGTCCCAGGCTGCCCTCGTGGCCGGCAGGTGGTGGCTGTTTGTGGAGTCGCTCAGGAACCACGGCCCTCGGTGTCTGGAGCGGCCGTCCGTGCCCGCTGCGCCCCTCCCCACTTGCGTCCGGCTGCCCTGCTCCTCTCCTGGCCGGGAAGGGCAGGGCCTGGCTGCCCCGACCGTGCCTGGCCTGCGTGGCTGTTTGTTCTCCTGTGCGTCCCTGCTGACTCTCGCTCCTCTCCCCTCCCGGTCAGAGCCGCCGCGGGCCTGCTGTGGCGCTTCCTAAAGCAGCGATCAGCTCGTGTTGCATAACAACCTGTGCTTGAGTCTAAACTCTCTTCTTTCTCTCTCTTTTTTCTTTCTTTTCTTATAATCTGCTGGCCGAAGGCTGTTAAAAATATGGTTGGAATGGTGAGTACTACTTTAAGTAGCAACTGTTGTCAGGTGAGCCCCTCCACCCGCCCACCCCCTGCCTTCCCCTTGGCCTGCTCGGGCGCATGTGCTGTCGCTCAGAGCTGCATGCACGTACGTGCCCACGCGTGCTCGGGGCTGGGGTGGCCCGGGCGGCCAGCGCGGCCGTGCACCCTTCCTCTGCTCTGGCTCCCCCTTTCCTGCTCCACCCTTCTTGCGTTCTTGATTTGACCTTTCAAGTTCCACCAGAACAGCAGGGGCAGAAGAGACTTTGAGTGACACTGTGAACCCACCACACAGGACTCCTGAGTAGGCTCAGGGAATCTGAAGAGCCATGGGCCCTTGAACGGGGGACCTGTGGCTGCTGCCTCCAGTGCTGAGACTCTGGGAGGCGACGCTGGGCTCTTTGCCGTGTCACTCAAGGTCATCAAGGGGACTTAAATAGAGAAAGAGAGGGAACTGACCGGCCCTGCAGCCCACCCGCAACCGGGGACACCTCCCCTTCCCCAGCCTCCAGAGAGGAGATGGGGACAGTAGGCCTGAGGCACTGTAAAAGGAATTCCCAATGCGATACACACAGCTGTCACAGGGATGATGTGTAGCAGGTGACACAGGAGTAACGGGGGGACAGGTCTGGGCAGCCGGAGGGATGGCGGCGCGCTCACACTCTCTCCTCCCTCAGCTCCACCAGGTGCTGGTCCAGCTGCAGGCCGGTGAGAAGGAGCAGGACTTCACCTCGGCCCCCATCCAGGTCTCCATCAGCGTGCAGCTCTGGCGGCTCCCAGGCTGCCACGAATTCCTGGCGGCTCTAGGTAGGACAGCGGCCTCAACTGCTTCTGCAGTTCTGCTTCTAAAAATCTCTCCTAGTTTCTGTTGGCTGAAACTGGTAGATTCTCAGGGGTCTTGGTGTTTTCTTAGATATTACCCATCGATGTGGACCTAGCGATTCCAGTACTTTAGCACAATTTTCAAATGGCCCTCCTGCCATTTCCCTCCATTTTGGTTTCATCTCTCATTTCCAGTCATCTTACTAGAAATCTGCTAGACTTCAGCATTGTTGGGAGTCCAACGAAAGAAAACAGTCATAAAATGATAGCTTCAGTGCTGGTCTCTATAGTACTATTGACACCAGGTGTGATTGGAACTGCACACACCACACACCAGGATCCTTGTCTATCCAGGACACTTCATTTCCTTTTTCTGACATCATAACACGGCTGAGGCAGCTCCTGGCATGACTGCTGCTTTAATAGATGTATTTTTTGATACAAGAGCCTGTGAGCTGTTCTCCTGTCCCACTCAAGTGCCTGTGTGACTCGCCTGGGAGCCTTTCATTTCACAAGCTTTCCTTTGAACACCTGTTATGTCGGACAATGTGCCAGGAGAGGGGCTACAGCACTGAGCAGAGGACAAGTCCTGCCTTCTTAGAGATTTCAGTCTAGTGGGGAAGACGAGCAGACCTAGTAAGTACCTGATCTAAGGGTAGGGAGCCCTGTAGGTGAGGAGGCATCATCACACACAGGAGCGTCAGGGGCGCAGTGACTGCTGGAGGGGTGGGCTGGGGGGAGGCAAGAGCCAGGGCATGTCTCGAGAGCCTCAGCGTGGCCTCAGGATGAAAGATCCAGGCAGAGGGCAGAGCTGTGGGTGAGCACAGGTGGTTGGGGGGTTGCACAGGGGCAGATGAAGCAGAGGTGGGGCTAATCCTGTGGGCCGTGAGGCCAGGGGAAGGCCTCTGGTTCTTAACCTGAGGGAATGGGGACTCTTTGAAGGGTGACACAGCCTAAATTCACCGTTCCAGGGACCAGCCATCTGACATGCAGGGCAGCTAATCCTTAAAAAGGAATTTTTCTTCTGCTTGTGAAATCTGATTTCACAGCATTAGGCCTTTCTTATAACCCATTTTGTGGATTGACCTTTCCCAGCCCACTTCAACTTAGGGCTGGCTCCATTTGCTTTTGATGGGGGGACCCCCAAGACCCCATAGGGACTCTGAATCCCTAGAAGTAGATATGCTCTCATATCCTTTATGATTTGTACTGTTTACTTGTTTCTGTGGGCTTAAAACATAGTCTTCTTGGTATAAACATAATAAATTTAAATAAGTGTAGTCAGTTGCAATTGGACCAAGAGTGAGAAAGGCCAGGTCCACACCCAGGAGGGATCTCTTTGCACTTTCAGGACAGGCTGTGGGGCTGACCTTGGGGCAGTGACACAGGACACAGGGAAGATGGAGCCAAGTCCTTTTTTTTTTTTTTTTTAATAAAGGAAAAGCAGTCTTCCTCATGCAGGGCCTACACTTCTCTTCAGTGTGGGTGTGACAGAGTTAGCCCTCCTCACCTGTGAACTGGATATTTCCAGGGCTGTCATTGGCTCTCCCTGGTGTTGGGATGGTGGGTTATTTTCATTGATGGCCTCTACTTCTCTATTTTCCAAATCCACCGATACTCAAGGGTTGAGTCAGTGTGCACACGCTTATTCTTGAATCCCATGGCCTGAGACCCCGGGGAGGAAATATCTCTGCAGGCTTGGCATCTGGAGAAGTGACTCTCTCACTCTTGAGGGTTCTGAGGCTCCAAGAAATCCCCTCTTTCCAGCCCTCAGCACCTAGCAGAAGCCATCACAACCCATCACAGGGCTGCCAGTTATTTACTTCCGTTAGGGTAACCAAGTCAAATTGTTTTGGTAGAAGTAGAGGTCTCTAACTGAAACATTTATATTAATTAGTTGTTTGTTTTTAAATGCTGAGTTCTCTGAGACCTTTCAGTTGCTTTCAGGGACTGTTTATGTTTGAGTTCAGAGGGGAGAATGTCCCATAGCAACCAGAAGGCTGAGGTAGCGCCTCAAGTGAACCAAATTCCCAAGAGGAATTACAGTGTCAGACCAGTATCAGAATCTGCATGAGAATAAAAATATAAACACATTTCTCCTTTGGTGCCTATGTCATGAGATGCACAGCATACAGACCCTTGTCACCAGAATACACATCAGAGGGAAGGGGCCTGGGGTGGCGGGTCCTGCCCCGGTAGCACCAAGTGTGTCCGCTGTTTCAGGCAGAGCTCAGTGACCCCCAAGGAGGCTGAGAGCACACTTGCAGGGCAGAGGGCTTCTCAGGACCGAAATCCTATCTGCAGACATAGCCCTTAGCCATGGCGTCTGCACTTGGCTTCCTCTGCATATGCACTTCCCAGGGAGATGTGTGGCGGACAGACGCTCTACAAGGTGTCTTTGTAAGTCTCGGTGCAGTGGCAGTGACTTGAGCCCGCTTCCCGCTCCGGAGTCTCATGAGAACCATTAGCCTCAGGGAACAGTCCCCTGGGCTTTAGCAGAGCAGAGTGCGGTCCCTGCAGGGTGGTTTTAGCCAAGGAGGCAGATTTTCCACCATCAGAGCCCGCTTGTTCCAAAGCCCTTGGTGGCAGATGCTGACCACATATGAGGACACTGTCTTTGCCCTTGAGAAGCTTCCAGCTTTAAATATTGGACCCAATTCTGAATGGAGTGGCCAGTTTTTGTCCTTAAAGTCTTCTAGTGGACTGTTCTGGGAAAGAATGGAGAAAGCAGCTGATTCTCATGAGCAATCATGTGACCATCCTCTCTCGGGAACAAAATTCAGGGCAGGAGAGCAGCTGGTGCTCCGGGAAGGGCCAGGAGGGAGCCACACGGATTGGGATTTGGGCAAGGGTGCATGCAGGTCAGAGAGCAGCGCCTGCCCGGTGCCTGGGAGACAGTGCAGGGAGCCCTGCGGCTCTCCTCTTCAGGACACGGGCTCCTCCCTAAGGAAGCTGAGATTCATATTCTTTGCTCCTCTAGGGTTCGATCTCTGTGAAGTTGGTCAGGAAGAAGTCATCCTGAAGACAGGGAAACAAGCCAATCGGCGAACCATGCACTTTGCCCTCCAGTCTCTGCTTGCGCTCTTCGGTAAGCGCCCCTTCCCTCCTCCCGTGGTGGGGCATGGGGCAGCCACGCACGGGAGCCTGGCTGCATTTGGGAAGGGGGGAGAGTGGCTAAGTATGTGTATGTGTTGGGGACTGCTTGAGAACAGTGGACAAAAACTCCCCGCCCTCGTGAACATACAATTAGAACACCTGTGGTAGAGACGGGGCGCTGCCAAGGGCCGAGAAGGTGACGCAGGGGGTGGCGGAACTAGGGACGAGCAGCCCGACTGCTCAGGCCACAGGCAGTTTTCGGGGCCATGGTCTTCCAGAGCGTAAGAGAAGTTCAAATCGAGTGTGAGCAGCACTTGCACAGCTCCCTGCGGGCTTCTCTGCATGAGGACGCCTGTGATTTTGACAAAAATTTCAAAACCACAGCACATTCTAACTGCCCTCTGGGCACCTCTGTCTTGTCTTAGATTCTACTGAGCTGCCCAAGCGCCTCAGCCTGGACAGCTCGTCCTCCCTGGAGTCTCTGGCCTCCGCCCAGTCTGTCTCCAACGCCCTGCCCTTGAGCTACCAGCACCCACCCTTCTCCCCCACCGGCGCTGACAGCATCGCCTCCGACGCCATCTCCGTGTACAGCCTGAGCTCCATCGCCTCCTCCATGAGCTTCGTCTCCAAGCCCGAGGCCGGGTCGGAGGCGGGGGGCGCCCGCGGCCGGCAGGACTACGACCGGCCCCAGAACGCCTACCCTCTGCGCTCCACTCTGCCCCGGGGCCCGCTGTGCCCCCAGCCCCGCCCTGCGGGGAGCAAGGAGGAGGAGGAGTACGAGGGCTTCTCCATCATCAGCACCGAGCCCCTGGCGGCCTACCAGGAAAGCAGGCAGGCGCGCGCCTCACCAGATCACAAGCCGGCCCGAGTCGTGGCGGCTGGAGGTGTCCAGGTTTCCGTGAGCTCCAAGGGGAGCATGAGCACCCCGAATTCTCCAGTGAAGATGACTCTGATCCCCAGCCCCAACTCCCCCTTCCAAAAGGTCGGAAAACTGGCCAGCTCAGATACGGGAGAATCAGACCAGTCCAGCACAGAAACGGACAGCACCGTCAAGTCCCAAGAAGAAAGCAGCCCCAAGCTAGATCCGCAGGAGCTGGCCCAGAAGATTCTGGAGGAGACGCAGAGTCACCTCCTGGCGGTGGAGCGCCTCCAGAGGGGCGGCGGCCCGGCCGGCAGGAGCTGCAGCCCCGAGGACCGGCCCGCGGCGCCCGGCGGCGCCCCCGGCTTCAGGGCGTCCGAGACCAGCGCCTTCAGCAGGCCGGCCCCCTGCCACCCCAAGAGCCAGGCGTCGCCGGCCCCGGCCCCCGCGAGACCAAAGCCCCCCGCCAGGAGCTCGTCGCTCCCCCAGGTGAGCTCCGGGCACAGCAGCCCCGCGGGGCCCGAGTCCGCCAAGGGCAGCCCCGGCCTGCGCGGCGGCCCGGCGCCCGGCGCCGACCCCCAGACCTCGCTGCCCGACCAGCCTCTCTTTAAACTCAAGTATCCCAGCTCCCCGTACAGCGCCCACATTTCCAAGTCCCCCAGGAACGCGTCCCCAAGCTCAGGCCAGCAGTCTCCCGCCGGGAGCGCGCCGTCCCCCGCCCTGTCCTACTCCTCGGCCGGTTCTGCGCGCTCCAGCCCCGCCGACGCCCCCGACGCGGACAAGCTGAGGACGGCGGCGGTCGACGAGAAGGTGCAGGCCGTGCACAACCTGAAGATGTTCTGGCAGAGCGCGCCCCCGCACCCCGCGGGCCCCGCCAAGGCCCTGCGCGGCGCCCCTGGCACGATGACCTCCAGGCGGGACGTCCTCAGCCTGCTGAACTTGTCGCCGCGGCACAAGAAGGAGGAGGGCGCGGACAAGCTGGAGCTGCAGGAGCTGCCCCTGCGGCCGCCCGCCGCGCCCCCGCGGGCGCCCCCCAACGGCCACTGGCGCACGGGGCCCTCGGCGCTGAGCGCGCTGCCGCCCGCCGCGCCAGCCGCGCGCCCTCTGAGGCTGCCCTCCGGGAACGGCTACAAGTTTCTGTCCCCGGGAAGATTCTTTCCCTCCTCCAAATGCTAAAGCATCCTGTCCCGCGGACCCCGCGCCCCGGTGCAGCCGCCGCAGAGGGACGCGGGCGTCCGCTCGCCCCGCAGCGCCGTCTCCCCACGCAACCGCCGGCCGCCTCCCGGGCGCGCGCTCGGCTCCGCGGGTCGTTCTCCACCTTGGGCTCCCTGCTGCTCCGCTCTGCTGCGATTCTCCTGCAGGATTTTTGTACAAAAACGGTCATAGTTCTGGGGTGGGGAGAGGAAAGGGAGCACATATTTTGCTAAGAGGTAGATATGCAGTACCTTTTATACACAGAAATACAAACAGAGCTGTTTTTAAGGCTTTCAGGTGCTGGTTGGGGGTGGGATGTATGAAATCTAAGTTGAATTCTACACGAAAGTGCACATCAGCCAAAAACAATGGTTTTTAAAATGCCAATGATTTGCCATTAAACTGTAGCGATTTTTGGGCTTACGATTATCGTGACATCACAGTAGCAATGCAATAATTCACATTTCAGCAGTGCTTCCATTCTGAATTCTGCTCTGCTCCACCTAGCTCTACAAATGTCCTTGGGGCCCCACTGTCAACCAAACTTGAATTTTCTTAAAAATTTTATGTAACTCTTCTCCAGGCATTTTAGAACTATGCAATTGTGATTTAAAATGCAACTTTGTGCTTTTAAAACATTATTGACCTTTTTTTGTATGTGGATAAACAACCTGGTTTTATTATCAATAGTACTTTGCATTTATAGCTATTATTTTTAAAAGCTCAAATTTTTTAAAATGTCAAATTTTGAATAGTCATCAATAAGTAATTATCAAGTTTGGGGGGGGGGAGGGAAAGGTTGAAATTATTCAGTTTCCTTGTAAGTGTATTAAAAAAAAAAAAAAATTCTCACAGCTAACTCGACTTAACCAGAATGGAATTTCCAGCTCCTGTTCCCTTCAGCAGCTACTTAATTTTATTCTTTTCCCATCTCCAGGCCTCGAACACCTCTCCTCTCTAAATCCGTTCCCAGGCTCTCACAGCCCAGGAACCCCATGTCTGCTGCCCCAGGCACCCTCACCGGAGCCGGGACCAGCCCGCTCCCGTCCCACAGCACCCCTGTCCTGTGCGCAGCCTGAGAAGCAGGGGGCCTTATGCTGGGATTTTATGCTCCAGTCATTGATGAGCAGGGAAACAGCTGTTCCTGAAAGTGCTGTCCTAGACAAGGCTGGGCGTCCCCTCCAGCCTGCCGTGCCGGCTTCCTGAGTTGTTGCCAGCTAGGCCGAGACAAAAGATCGCCTAGGTAGGGGTGAGCATTAACCTAGGAAGAAATGAAATGCTAAAAATCATACTAGTGCTAACTTTAGTTAGGGAATTTAAATAGACCGCTTTTACATAATTTGAAAACGAAGACCCTGCTGCCCTCTCCACACAAGGGTGTCACCCAGAGGTGAGCAGCCGCGTACCCACATCGCATGGAGTGGACGGGAGAGGCCGGGCAGGAGGGGCTCGAACAGTAAGACCTCACGTAGAGCTTTTACGAGAGGTCCTGCCCAAGGACCTTCTAAACATGCCTGACCGTGCGCCCTGTTCCTCGGTGTACCCTGGAGAGAGGAGAGGCCCCTATTCAGTGCGTTCCTCTCCTGAGCTACGTCGTGGTTTTTGCCTTTGCCCCAACAGCCATACTGGTGAAAGCAGACAATTAGGATGTCCCATTCTAGGCCTGACCCCAACACTGGAAGACAAATACTTTATAAAGAAGCAAGCACTTATGAGGTGTTTTAAGTCAGTAGGGGAAAAAAAACCGGTAATGAAGTATCAGAGTAGCAAACGAAAGCGAGTTTATAGCACTGTGCATTTAGCAAAATCAGGTCCTCAGCAACAAAAACTAAACCTCAATTTCTGAATCCCTATGTAGGTAGTTAGGCTGTTCCTTTCTCAGCAATCTCAGCCTCTTTCCCAAGTGCCAAGGAGCCCCGGAGGACAGGCCTGGGGTCTGTGCTCCCCGTGCGAGTGCACACATTTGCCCACCTCCTGTACACGCCCCGTCTGCCACCCAGACCGCTTCCTGTGCTTGTGCTTACCGAGCCAGCGAGGAGGTCTCAGTCGACCCCAACTTGGTTTTAGTCCTAATTACATTGTTGTTTTAGGTTTCATGTTGAAAAACCAAATGGTGTGTGTTTTTGTTTTTTGTCCTAGATAGAAAAGGTTGAATGAAAGAAAGCAAACATGACAAAATAATAGGGCCAATCTCAAAATCACTGTAGAGTTGCCACCTCTTTATGTTTACTGTCAGTCTTGGTGTTTTCTTGATGAGTGAAATGGATGTAAAATCAAAGTAAATTTTTCCGGCTCCAACCCCTGAAAAAAATATATGCACTTAATAATTATGTGAGACTGTGTAAGTCACAGATACCTTTGTGTAGATTGGGGGTTGGCAGGCCATGACCCACGGGCTAAATCCGGTCAGAGCCCTGGTTTTTTATAGCCATGAGATAGGAATGGATTTTACAGGTTTAAAAAGTTATGTAAGTACCTGCATCATACTCTTGATTTTGCCTCTTGGCCCACCAAGCCTAAATTACCTAATACCTGACCTTTTAAGAAAAAGTTTGCTGACTCCTGGTGTAGGGGACGGACAACACAATTAGAATGTTTTGTGTCTACAGTCTAGGGAAAGTGAGTGTCAAGTTGTGGATAAAATTGGCATGCATGGAACCCCTGAGCCATGTGGATAGAAGCAAATAACTCCTGCATAGTCCGTGGCTCTTTGCTCCACTTGGAATGAGCCATGAATGTGGGTAAAATTTACAAAAAAAAAAAAAAAAAAAGAAAGAAAGAAAGAAAGAAAGAAAGAAAGAAAGAAAGAAAGAAAGAAGAAAGAAAGAAAAGAAAACAAAACCCTTTTCCTCACTATATGCAGATAGCATTGGACATATTTCTTTTTCAGCTCAGGAAACTGGAATGCCCTGCCCCTATTCTACTCCATCAGATGCAAGTACACTGATCACAAGCAATAAAATCTCCCTCTCCTAGAAACCTTGGTATGACCACAAAGCAAGGTAGTAGATCCTATCCTAATTCTCACCAGTGAACTGCTCGACTGCTTCACTGATTTTAACTAAATCAAAGTACCAAAACAAAGTTAGCTGTAAAACTTATATTTTGAACCACATTAGTGTGTAGTGAAATGAAAATATTCTCACCTCCATCCTGTTTGAAAAATATCATGGTCCACCCTGATACTCGCTGGGTCTCAGCAGGAGACCAGGTGCTGCACACACTGTCCTCATCCACTTATGCTGTTCCAGTGAATCTCAGCAGGTGGTCACTGGAGCAAGTCCCCAGTAAGGCGCCTGTCCCATCGCCTCCCACGGTCACTTTGCTGGTTTCAGTTCAGTTTGGAAAAAATACCACGCAACACTCTGGTTGCTTTTAGTAAGTAGGCAGAGGGTGAAAATTGCATAATTTTCATCATATATTTTGTTGTTTTATCTAAAATGACTGTAACACATGTGGTTTGTGAACTGGGCCCCCGTTTGTAACAGATCTTTCAAAAATGTTCCATGTAAGGACACATGCGGTTACCTCTCCCTCCTCAGACGCCTTCCCCACTTGGCACTCACCCCCCTTGTATGCAGTGTTAGCCATCTTTGGCCTATGTGGACATTTTTTGTAAATTACAGTTTCCAGATGGCATTAAACTTTTTATATTACGAAATTTACCATGTAAAAAGAACTTCATATTTTTATTGAGATTGTTAAGGCACTTGGCCTTCCTTTGTGATTTCAGTGTCTATTAAAGCATGAATTCCCTCGGTTTTAAGTGCTGTATCTGAATCACTTTCTGTACACGTTCCACACTTCTAGGTTTCTTTGCTGTACACAGAATAGTCATGTGTCCTTAATGAGTGGTATGTTCATCTGGGGTCTCCTCCCTAGACATACACCATGGCCTCATGTTTGCTGGGAGGAAAACCCAAGAAAGTGCACAGCAGAGCCGACCTTGCACGCAGGCTTCTGCAGCTCTGAGGCACGGGGCACCTGTGGGTGGGTGGTGACTTAGAATGCCTCTGATCTGTAGTCATAGTTGGAGGGTCAGAAAATTCCACAGTTGTGTAAGCATGCTGACAAACAAAACGGGTTCATTACTGCCAGATCTCTGTAACTAAAGAAACTCCAAAGGAAGTACTCCAGAAAGAAGGAAAACAATCCTACCTGTAAAAGTCCAAGACGCATGAAGGAATCCTGGACAAAGAACTAAGTGTGACTAAATTAAAAACAAATACTGATTGTATAAAAAGTAACATCTTGGGAGGCCTGGAGGGCTGAGTGGGTTAAGTGTCTGCCTTCTGTTCAGGTCATGATCCCAGGGTCCTGGGATGGAGCCCCACATCGGGCTCCTTGCTCAGTGGGGAGCCTGCTTCTGCTGCCTCTGCCTGCAGAGTACCACCACCGCTTGTGCTCTCTCTCCAAATAAATAAAATCTTTGAAAAAAACCCTAACATCTCATTTGAGTAGCAATAAAAAATTAAAATACTGGACATTAGATAATACATCAAACAAGGAAGTGTTATAGGTTGTCTAGGAAGAGAAGAATAGATTATTTTTAGTGTAAGTTAAATACATCAAAACACAAATAGAAGGTTATATCAAACTAGTTCGTGGAGGAAAAAATGCTTTTAAAAACTTGATCTAAAGGGATAAAGAGGAAATAAACTATTTTTAAAAGCAGTACAAATACAGTATGAAAGATTACTAGTAATTATAAATGTAATCAAATGAACTAAACAAAAGAGAATGATGATGGAAATATGCCACATGCTCTTTAAAAAACAATATGCCTATTTGGGCGGTGGGGGCGGGGGGGTACAAAGCTAACAAAGCATAAGGCCCAATGGTTGACAACAAAAGGATCAACAAAACAAAGTAAAAAGCACTAGTAAAAACAAAGGAAGATCTATTTTCTAATGTTAAAAAGCCTTAGCAGAAGGGCAAAATTCTAAATTTGTATGCAGCTACTCCTAAATATCATTTCAAAAATTGATAAGTAAAAATTGGCAGAACTACAAGTTTGGAAGGTTACATTATTATTATTTAAAGATTGATTGATTGATTTTAGAGAGTGAGGGGGGAGGGGCAATGGGAGAGGAAGAGAATCTAAAGCAAACTCCATGGTAGCACAGAGCCCAACCCAGGGCTCGATCCCCCAACCCTGAGATCATGACCTGAGCCGATTCGAGCCGGCTGCTTAACCAACTGAGCAGCCCAGGCACCCCAAGACTACACTATTATAATGGGAGATCTCACCTTCTCCTCTCAATTTATCGACAGATGAAGGATACGATGCAGCAAGCATACGGTAGACTTAAACAATTCAGCAAACAGGCTTGTGAAATGGAGCTGCAGAGAACCCGGTCTCTGACAGGAATCTACATTCTTCCCAAGCACACGCGGAATACATTAGGAAACTGATCCTGTGCAGGCCTGTAAAGTCTTAGCAAATACTGAGGAATCAATATCACAGAACGGTACAATTCAGTTAGCACTAATAACATGGAGATGATAGACGCTTCCAGTCACTTAGATATTTTTAAATGCTACTAAACAACATACGAACCATAGAAGTGCTCATAAAAGAAATGAGAAAATACTGCATATCTAAACTGATAGATGTCTCCAGAGGCACCCTAGGTGTTCGTGGGTTTTACTTTTATTAACAACAGAAATGTTTCTTATTTGTTCAAGACCGGAATTCAGGGGCATCTGGGTGGCTCAGGGGTTGAGCATCTGCCTTTGGCTCAGGTCGTGATCCTGGGATCCTGGGATCGAGTCCCACATTGGGCTCCCAGAGGGAGCCTGCTTCTCCCTCTGCCTGTGTCTCTGCCTTTCTGTGTCTGTCATGAATAAATAAATAAAATCTTAAAAAAAAAAAAGACCAGAAGTTCACACAGTGGGACCACAAACAATCTCATTTTCACCCAATAAAGTAAAATACATACTTTTATTTCTGCTTCCGTGTTTGCAGGAATATGTAAGTTATAGAATAGCTTAGGAATAAAATTAATTTAAAATCCCCTAAAAATTAGTGAGATGCAGTTAAAGTGGCATTTAAAAGAAAAACTTGTAGCCCTACATGATTATATTCACAGGTAATATTCAAAATATGTACCTGCGCAATCCTCAACCAATAAGGAGGGGTGCCAACCTACGCAGCTGGGGCGATGATATGCACAAGCGTATGTTAGGAAAGAATACCACTACCCAGCTGGATGACCAACCCGAGAAGTCATCAAAAGATAAACCCGGAGAAAAAAGAAGAAAGGGAATAAGAACAGTGAGAAACTGAAAAGCAATATAAAAGATCAAGAAGGGCAAAACTTGCAAAAAGGATAAAATGCACTAATTTCTAGGGACTGATCACCTGTGTGAACAAGTATATCTGTGAGCGATGAAAAAAGAAAAGAAAAAGGAAGAAAAAGTGGATATAGCTAAAAGTGCAACAGAGATTAAAAAATAAAATACTATGAACAATTTTGTGGCAATACATGTGAAAATGCAAAGTGGTACCTAATATGTTTAGGCACACACATGTGGGTGGCCAAGGAACCTAGAAATGCAGGGACCAGTGGATGTGACCGCAGGGCAGTGGTGCTGTCCTTGGGGAGAGAAGCCATGGTGGCGGTCAGGACACAAGGGGCTCCGGCTGCACGGTGCCGTGCCACACGCCACACAGCTCTGCTCGCTCCTGTCTGCATGCTCCTTCATAAGGAATTTCAGAAGGAGCAGAAAGTATGATTGGCTACTGTACAACAATTATTTATTAATCAGATTCTCTCAACTTTTAGGAAAACCATTAATAAAAGTTCTGGTGCAAGAAGGAAAAGAAAAAGAAGCCAAAGCCCATGAAGCTCAAATGGCAATCGCACCCCCTTGCCTTTTACCGGCCTCTTTCAAAACCACACAGGCCCAGATGGTTTTTACATGTGTCCCAGCAACTCTCCGGGGCCAGAACATCTCTTACCTTTTCAAATTGTTTAAGGAAATATAAAAAATAAGAAAAGATAGTCAAATAATTTCGTGATGGCATTCTCAGTTCTCAGGTCAACAGATCATGTATGAAAAGAAAAGGATAGGCCCATTTCATTTATGAATCCAGACATAAATCTCAATAAAATACTGGCCATTAAATCCCTGTGTTCTTTAAAAGTAGGAAGACAAGCTGAAAGTGCCTCTATGTATTGGTTACTGGAGCATGAATCTTTGCTGATTGATGAACACGCACATGGTAATCCCAAGGGGCCAGAGCTCTGAGCCTAAGGGCATCTGTAAACACACTCACATATGAAAACCAATAACCATTAGACTATGGAGAATACAAGTCTGCTGAGACCTGGAGAGGCTGGATTCTATGGCTCACATTGTAGTTAAACAAGAAGCAAATCTATTATACTCCTCTTATAAGAACAATGAAATATGTATAAAATCCTTTTTTTTAGGGGCAGAGTGGGACAGAGGGAGAGAGGGAGTCTTCAGCAGACTTCACACCCAGCACAGAGCCCAACTCGGAGCTCGATCTCGTGACCCTGAGATCAGGACTTGAGCTGCAACCAAGAGTTGGACGCTTAGCCGACTAAGCCACCCAGGCACCCCGGTGTAAAGGAAGCATTCCTAAATCTAAGCATTCCAGCATTCCTTAAGAACTATGTCCTGTATTACTGTTGAAATAGAGATTGACTTGAGTACAATAACCTACAGAGTAAATCTAAGATCTACACAAGGATTTAGGAGCACAATAGTGTGGTCCCTATTACCTTAGGAAACACAATTTATGTTTTCTGTTACTGCTGAAAACCCTGAATATTCAATTGTGGAATGTACGTTTTGTTAGATGCTTTCCTGGAAGGAGAGAATGGCCCTTAATGAGGACTTGGCGATGTGCTTGAGGACCTTCGCTGACAGCTAATGCAAAGACAGGTAAAAGCAGGACTGCTCGTAGCCACTGCAGCTTTTTCTCAATATTAGTATTCTAAGGCTTTACTTATAGTTGCTTTGTTTTGTTGTTTTTTAACCTCAGAATTTCTGGGCACGGACCGCAGCGTGGTACCTTCCTCAGTTTAAAGCTTTTCTTACATGCACACTTACGGTCTCTAATAATACTATATAATGGTAAACAGCAGGGAACTGACAGGCTAATGCTGCATCCACTCCAGCAAATGAGGTCGGAACATCTGGATTCAAACACATTAAAAGGACAAGTTAGCATTAAGGAAACATTTTGCCTCTCAACTGAATTTGTATCCAATCTCAAGATATTTATTAAATTTATAGCAACTGTGCGTTTGGGCCTCAGAGAATAATAATATTCTTAAATATATAAATATTCTCAATATATTTATATTAAATAAAAGGTTTTAAAATTCTGAAATAGCTTTAAATCATAGTGGTAGAACTCCGAAGTCTACCCTCCTTGCTAACTGGGACAGGTAAATGAATTTGAATTCTGATTTGCCTTGACAGCATTTTGCCAAAAGTCTAATTTTTTTTCATATACAGAGCTTTCTGAAGCACAGCATTTATTGAACCAAAAATGCAAAAGTAAATTAAAATTAATAGGTAGTTCAGAAAAAAAAATCAGTTCTTATCTATTATTTCAAAAGTCATTCGTTTTACAAGTATTTGCTGAGGGTTTGTCGTGATAAAGAATGTAGCCAATAAAAAATAAATAAATTGAAAGTTAAAAGAGATGTTTGAAAGTCCATAAAATAAAGCTTGTGTGCTTCACTTAATTAGATACCATTCTTTCCTGGATCATACACAATCAAAATACCCTGCTGTATAAAAATGCCCCCACTCCAAGGAAGGAGTCTAGCTGCCAAGGCCCAAGCAGGGCGGCCAATCCCGTGGGAGGTCAGAGCCTTAGAGGAAGTCCCCACAATCAGATTCCATTTTTTACTAATTCAGTCCAGGCCTAGATCAGGTCCTTGCAGCCACAGCCAGCCACAAGGGGATGATGTAACTGTGGTCCATGGGGTCAGGATGGCTGAGTGCATGCAGCCAGAGTCACTGAGGTGCAAAAACTATGAGTGAGTAAAGGAGGCTGGGAGCCGAGAAAGGAGAAAGGAACAGACGCAAAGACACCGTGGAAGCACAGAAAAGTCCCTGAGGGAGACACGTTCCAGGCCACTCTACATACAGTTCCATGTTCAGTTCTTTCCCATTTGGGGTAACTTGAATGGGAACTCTTTTCTTTTTCTATCAACAGCCATATCTGTGGATGCTTGAACTTATGGAATAATAAAATCAAGTTAAAAGAGGATCAGGGAGGAGTACCTGGGTGGCTCAGTGGTTGAGCATCTGCCTTCAGCTCAAGGCGTGATCCTGGGGCCCTGGGATCGAGCCCCACAGTGGGGTCCCCGCAGGGAGCCTACATTTTCCTTTGCCTGTGTCTCTGCCTCTGTGTCTCTCATGAATAAAGAAATAAGATCTTTTTTTAAAAAAAAAAAAGTGGAACATGGAAAGAGGCTGTAGAGTCAGGGAAACTGACAAACTGAAGACAGAAGGGATAGTAAAGGAGTTAAGACGTGTATGAAATAGAAGAACACACAAAATAGGGAAGTCTGAGACCATACAGTACTTCTCTGTGGTTCTGGATGCTTAGATGTAAATAAATAATAGAATCAATCAGAATAGGAGTCCCACGTACCTTCTAATGACTCACGCTGGCCTGCCCCTATTACTGTCGGGGGAGAGCCACTGGGGCCTTCTCCCCGCCCAACACCTCCACTTGCTAGCCCCATCTCACTTGCCTACCCAGAACCAGTGTGTCAGTAATCCCCCCTTCCTGCTCAGTCAGACTTTTCCTCGCAGATGAATTACTACTATCAGCACATTAACATGCTGTCGTCTCTCCAATTTAACCCCATATCCCCATCCAGTAAACACAGCATTTCTCTGCTCCTCTTTAAGAACAAAAAGCTTACTACTTTTTTGTCATTGTTGGTGTCACCAATTCTACTCCTCTTCTCTCTTGAGCCACTCCTTGAATCGAGACTTTGCCCCCAGTACAAGATCAATAGCTGATTCATGTTGCAAAATCTATGTCAATTCTTAGTTCTTTGTAATGCAGTACAAAGGATACAGCATCACTTAGGAGGTAGTCTGAAAAGTTGAATCTGCATTTAATTAAGCTTTTAAATGTATGTGTATCACTTTCAATTTACCGTAAATACAGATTATTAGAACAAGTTACACAACATCATGAGAAAATGATAAGGTGAATCTAGAAGGTGGGGCCACCCAACCACTCCACATGGAGCTTTTCAATACAACTCCTTGAAATATGAAAAATCTGTGGTATCCAATACAGCAGCCACTAGACACATGTGGCTATTGAGCAATCAAAATACAATGTGCCTGAGGATCTGAATTTTTATCTTAATATAATCTTAATTTAGTCATATGTGTAAACAAGCCAATATTATAAAGAAAAAAATAGAGGCTAGGGACTTTTCAAGAATAAAAGAATTTTAAGAGACATCATAACCGAATGTAAATACAATTGTATTTCTATAAACTAGAAACAAACATTGGAAAATAAAACCAGTTCTGCTTACCATTACATCAATAAACATAAAATAATCAACTAAGACACATTGCACTATCTAGTTAAAATGGGCACAGTTTATAATATGTAAAATATAACTCAGTAAAGTTGTTGAAAAAACAGAGATAAAATTTAACAAGAGAGAAGACTTCTCCATTGAAACCGTCAAAACACATCTGAGAAAAAGTAAGGCATAAATTAGGAGAGATACTATGTTCATGGATGTGATACTTAATATTGTTAAGACATTAATTCTCCCCAAACTTACCTATAGAGTCGACACAATTGCAACCAAAGTATTGGCAGGAACAAAATTCTTTGCAGAATTTTTATCAGAAACTTACAAGTTACATCTAAAACTTATTTGTCAATGAAAAGAATCTAGAAAAGTCAAAACAAACTTGAAGACGCTGACTTCAAAATTTACTTTAAAGCTACAGTAAGTAAAACTGTATGGTTTCCGCATATAAACAAGCAGATTAATGGACAGAATCATAAATACATGGAAAGAAAAGACCTTGACATACATGGTCAACTGATTTTCAGGAAAGGATGCCAAGGTAATGGCAAAGAACAGTATTTTCAAAATATGGTACTGAAACAAATATGTAGAAAAACAAGCCCTCAACAATTACCTTAAACCATACTCAAAAATTAATTTAAAATGCATCATAAACCTAGACATAAAATGATAAAACTTTGTACATTGGAGAGTACCTCTGATCCTGAGTCAGGCAAAGATTTCTTAAGACATGAAAAGCACAGGATGCCTGGGTAGCTCAGTAGTTGAACATCTGCCTTTGGTTCAGATTGTGATCCCGGGGTCCTGGGATTGAGTCCTGCATTGGGCTCCACACAGGGAGCCTGCTTCTTCCTCTGCCTGTGTCTCTGTCTCTTTCTGAGTACATCTCATGAATACATAAAATCTTAAAAAAAAAACAAAAGCACTAACCATAAGAGAAAAAGTTAATAAATAAGAATCTGTCAAAATTAAAGCTTTCTGCTCTTCAAGATATCACTAAGAAAGTGAGAAGGCAAGTGCATCCTAGAAGAAGATATTCATGGTAATTTGCATCTGGGAATGCAAACTACAATCAAAATGAAGAAACCCTTCTCACATTTAGAATGGCTACATTAAAAAGATGGGCCACACCAAATGCTGGTGAGTATACAAAACCAGAATTATTGTACTTTGTTGGTGGGAGTGTAGAATGATACAATCACTTTGGGAAACTGTTCAGCAGTTTCTCATAAAACCTAACATACACCCATCCAATCCTATGTCTAAGTATTTGCTGATGAGAAAGGAAAAGAGATGACAACAGAGACTCATATAAGGATGTTCGTGGTTGCCTTAATCATAGTAGCCCCCAAATGGAAGAAACCCAAGTGGTTATCAGCAGCTGAATGGATAGACAAGTTGTGACAGAGTCATACAATGGAATACTCTATAACAACAAGGAGGACTGAAATGAGGTACGCAACACGAAAGATTATCAGAAACATTATGTTGAGCAAAAGTAGTCAAGTACCAATGAGGCCATACTGTGATTCCATTTTTATGAAGTCCTAGGATAGTCAAAACCAATGCAAATCAAAAGAGTGGCTGTCTCTGGGAAGAAAAGGAATTGACTTGAAAGGGGCAAGACAGAGCTTTCTGGGGTGATGGAACCCTTCTATATCTAGAATGGAGTGTTGATTACAGAAGTGCATCCATTTGTCAAAATTCCTTAAACTGTACCCTTAAAATGTATACATTTTAGTGTGTGCAAATTACATAAAAAGCCCTAGGAGGGGTTTGGGGAGGGTAGTTGGATAGAACTTAACAGGCTGATTCTAAATTTTAAGATTTTATTTATTTATCTGAAAGAGAGAGAGAGAGAGTGCACGCAAGCATAAGCAGGGGGAGTGGCAGGCAGAGAGAGAGGGAGAAGCAGGCTCCTAGCAGAGCACGGAGTCCGATGTGGGACTCGACCCCAGGACCCTGGGATCACAACCTAAGCCAAAGGCAGATGCTTAACTGATGGAGCCACCCAGGTGCCCCAGGTTGATTCTAAATTTTTATGGAAATTTATATGGAAATCCAAAGGGGCTGAGAATATCCAAGGCAGTCTAGAAAAGGAAGAAGGCCGAGAAGTTCTGCTACCAGAAATTAAGCTCCATTTTAAAGCTATAATAATTAAGACAATGTGGGATTAGTGCAAGGACAGACGGATGACACATCATAGAAAGTCCAGAAACAGACGCATACACATGATTTATGAAAAAAAGGACACTGTAGTAGAGAAAGAATGGACTTTTCAATAAATGGAACTGGGTCAATTGGGTATAAATATTTTCAAAAAAATCAATCTTGACCTCTACATACCACACACAAGTATCAATTCTTGGTGGACTGTACCACCAATTGCAAAAGGTCAAAGTAAAAAGCAGAAAATCCAGGGAATGGGTGGCGCAGCGGTTTGGGGCCTGCCTTTGGCCCAGGGCGCGATCCTGGAGACCCGGGATCGAATCCCACGTCGGGCTCCCGGTGCATGGAACCTGCTTCTCCCTCTGCCTGTGTCTCTGCCTCTCTCTCTCTGTGACTATCGTAAACAAATAAAAATTTAAAAAAAAAAAAAAAAAAAAAAAGAAAATCCAGGGAAAATATTAAGAAGAAAACCCGAGAGGGGCACCTAGTGGCTCAGGGGTTGAACATCTGCCTTTGGCTCAGGTTGTGATCCTGGGTACCAAGATCGAGTCCCACATTGGGCTCCCCATGGGGAGCCTGCTTCTCCCTCTGCCTATGTCTCTGCCTCTCTCTGTGTCTCTCATGAATAAATACATAAAATCTTAAAAAAAAAGAAAAGAAAAAGAAAACACAAGAGACAATCTCCATGATCTGGAGGTAAGACAAATGTTTCTTACACAGGATATAAAAAGTAACAACTATAAAGGAAGTATTTGATAAATCATACTATCAACTACAGAATGAACAAATCAACAGTGGTGTATTCATACAGTGGAATACTGCACAGCGACCACGTGTAACAACATGAGTGAATGTCTCAAATAAAATGATGACCCAAAGAAGCCAGAGGGAATACACAGCATATATTTCCACTTACATTAATTTCAAAAACTAGCAAAACACATGTATGAACATGGTGTTCAAAGTTAGGATATTGTTTATACCTGTGGTGGGAGACTTGGACTTGCTTGCTTGGTAAGAATTCATTGCGTCGTACAATCATTATTTGTTACTTTTCTGTAGGTGTGTAATACATCAACATGTATAAAGTTAAAACAAAAACACCTGATTTTTCTCCCCAGTATTCTTCCCTCTGAAATCTTCTGCATCTCAGTAAAATGGCAACTCCATCCAGTTGTTCAGAACAAAATCTGCGAGGCCATGCTCAACTTTTCCCTTCCTTTGACTCACCACACACGATCCACTACAAACTGCTGGCCCGACATCCCTGCCACCCGCTGGCTGCCCCTGTCATCACTCACCTAGACTACTGTAATGGTCTCCTCACTGGTCTCTCCCAGTCCCACCAGACTTCTTCCTTTCAGGCTGACCTACACATGACAGCCACAGCAACCACTTGTAAAGCATGTGGTGGCTCACTTCACCTAGTGCTCCAAAGCCTTCAAAGCTAAAGGTCTTCCATTATGTCCATGCCCTGCTCTGGGATCTGGTCCCAAAACTCTCCTCACTGCCCAGGTCACTCCAGCCAGAGACCTTCTTACTACTTCTTGGATGTGCCAAACACATTCTCGCTCCAGGTCCTTGGCACAAGTCATCTTCTCTGATATCCACACGGCTGACTCACCACTCCCTTCAGCTTTCTGCTCTGATGTTATTCCTCAGAGGCCTTTCCTGACAACTTCTTTAAGTTTTAAATTCCAGTTAGTTAACACAGTGTTCTTTTTTATGGACGAACAATATTCCGTTGTGTGTGTGTGTGTGTGTGTGTGTGTGTGTGTGTGTGTATACCACATCTTCTTTACCCATTCATTAGTTGATGGGACACTTGAGCTACTTCCATATCTTGGCTGTTGTAGATAACGCTGCAAGAAACAACAGGTGTTGGCAAGGATGTAAAGGAAGGGAAGCCTTCTTTGCAAACTGGTGCAGCTATTCTGGAAAACAGCATAGAGGTTCCTCAAAAAGTTAAAAATGGAGCTACCATATGATCCAGCAATCACAGTACTGAGTACCCAAAGAAAACAACACTAATCTGAAGGAGTACATGCACCCCGATGTTTACAATGGCATTGTTTACGACTCCCTGGTAGTTTTTAAAATATTCTTTGCAATCATGTTCAATCTCTTTTAGTCCAGCTTTAGTTTTCCTCATCATTCTTACTATTACATGGTAATATATTAAATGATACTTAGTTCATTGTCTGTAAGGTCCATTAAGATAGGTATTTTTGGTCTATAGATAATATATCCCCACTACCTACAACAGTGCCTAGCACATTTTTTTTTTTTTTTACTGAGTGTTGTTGAATTACTAAATATAATGAAAGAGATACTGAACCTTGATGCAGAAAGTCATAAAGCTATACCAGGAAGACATTAAAAAGATGGATCCTGTTCATGGATAGGAAGCCTGAATATCATAAAGGGTCAATTATCCAAAAATCAGTCTAAGTCTAATTAGGTATAAGTCCAATTAAAATCCTGAGCTTTTCATAAAATCTAACAAGATTGGGATCCCTGGGTGGCTCAGCAGTTTGGAGCCTGCCTTTGGCCCAGGGCGCGATCCTGGAGTCCCGGGATCGAGTCCTGTGTTGGGCTCCCGGCATGGAGCCTGCTTCTCCCTCTGCCTGTGTCTCTGCTTCTCTCTCTATGTCTATCATGAATAAATAAATAAATCTTTAAAAAAAATCTAACAAGATTATCCCAAAGTCCACATGGCAGTACACAGCACTCAGAACAGCCCGACGGTATGAGGAAGGGTGTGCGCATGTGCAGGAGAGGAGGGCTGCTCTACCCCATAAGGGGCCTGGTGACCATGAATCTCTGCCAGGATGCCTGCAGACGATTCATACCATCATGGCCCTTCGCTGCTCTCCTCTGTCTCACAGGGATGGATGTCTAGGAGCTATGCCTCCCTGGACTCTGCCAGCAGCTTCCTAGTTAGCCTCTCAATGAAAGGGAGCCTCACTATACACCTCACTATACACCGTGAGGGCAGATGCATGACAGACTTCAGCAGATGTAAAATTTTGCAGCATCATTAAGGTGTATTTTTGCAAATCACTAGTCTAAGTAGCATTGACAGCTGATTATTGCCAGAGATTTTCTGTGTTTTCACCACCTTCCTGATGCCCTAAAAGTTAGTGGCAAATCTGACAGGTAGCAGTCACTTCCTGTGCCTTTATTCCTCCAGTCCTGCCACTGGTCTTATAAGCACCCATTTCTCCACTGTACGTCCATCTGTTCTTGCTCAAAATACTTAAGAGTGGTTTGTTTTCCTGACTGGACCATATCTGAATGAAAAGCTATGATAAACAAAGTAGTGTGACAATGATTAACACAAACAGACAACCAGATGAATGTAGCAGAAAGCTCACATATATGTGGGGACTTGATATTTACAGAAGTAAACTACAGAACAGTGGGAAAAACATGAACTATTCATTACATATTGCTAGGACCCACTGCATAAGAAATAACGATTTCAAAAGAAGAAATAGGACACCTGGCTGGGTCAGTCAGTAAAGTGTGCAACTCTTGATCTCAGGGTTTTGAGTTCAAGCCCCACAGTGGGTGTGGAGATTACTTAAAATCAGAGAGAGAGAGAGAGAGAGAAAGAAAGAGAGATAGACAGACAAAGGAAAAGAAAAAAGAAACTGGATCCTTTCTCCTTACCACACACAAAAAATCAATTTCAGGTGAATTAAAGCCTTAATGTGAAGAAGAACTTTTGTCAAGACTTAACAGAACATTTTTAGTATTTCAGAGTAAGAAGAGATTTCACGAAAGACACATGCAAAAAAACATAAACCATAAAGGAAACTAATTTCTCTGCTCCAAAAAGCATCTTAAGTTCTCTCTCTCTCTCTCTCTCTCTCTCTCTCTCTCTCTCTCTCCTCTTCTGTCTCAAAACATTCAGAACAAAAGCCTGAGGTGGTTCTGAGTAAGGTGGGGTTAGGTTTAGGGTCGCCCAGGGAGGGTAAGAGTCTGGTCAGGGTGAGGAGGGCGACACTGAGGATGGGAAGGTGGCACAGGTATCAGAGAACAGGCTGGGTGAGGAAGATGTCCACGTGGAGGAGTGGCAAGAATGGCTCCATGTGGGGTACTGGGGCATGAGTGGGTGAGTGGAGCATCCATTAGGGAAGCGGTAGTAGAAGTGATGGTGGCAAGGGGGACAGTGGGACTGATCAAATACACAAATATATTAAGGATAAGAGGAGTCAGGTTTCTCATGGCTGGAGTTACAAATATCAAAAACTAGAATGAGCCCTCTATGGTGTTGGATGGAAATTGGAATCACTGATGTAACTCATGTTTTACATCTACAGACTGATGTATCTATCAGCTGATGAATCAATCAACTGAAAGACATATTTATTCCCTAGTTCTGACTGGGAGGCTCTGACAGCAGCACACCTTCATGGAATGAAAACCCTAACATTCAGATACTGGCTTCTAAATACTAGACTCCCCTCAAAGAAACCAGAGCTCCTTGGAAAATGGCTGATTTTAGGCTGATTTTCAGAATGGGTGGGACACGTCAAAAGTGCACAGATGACAACTTTAGAGGCTTCCAATGGCCACATCAAGTACGATGACAACTTTAGAGGCTTCCAATGGCCACATCAAGTACGATGACAACTTTAGAGGCTTCCAATGGCCACATCAAGTACAATTTGAGTATCACAATAAATAACATTAGTAACAAATCATAACCCCTTTAATAAAACGGAAAATTGTGTCCATACAGAAAGTACAAAAAATGAATAAATTGAAAGTTAATGAGGAATACGATAGTTTCTATCTGTAGTAATATTTTGGGGTTTTTTGCCTTGTTTTTTTGTTTTGTTTTGTTTTTTTCTTCCTGAGATTTTCCACGTTACTTCTTACCATGCTATGCTCTCCTCTATACCTTGGAACATAACGGTATAATTGTGGTTTCAATGTCCTTGTTTCTTTAATTCTATCATCTGTGCCATTTCTTGTCAGTTTTGAATGAGCTTTCTTCTTATTAGGGTCGTATTTTACTACACTACATCCCTGGTTATTATTGGTTAGATGCTGGACATTGTAATTTTTACATTGTAGGTGCTGGGGTTTGGGGAGGGGGTAGAGTTTACCTGTAAATATTTTTGCACTTTGTTCTGGGACACCATTAGGTTACTCGGAAACAGTTTTGTCTTTTCAGGGCTTGCTTTTAATTTTTGTTAGGTTAGGACCAGAGCAGCCTGTAGTCCAAGACTAATTCAGCAATACCACTGAGGTGACTGTCTTGAGAACCCTACCTAATGCCATGTATCATGAGGTTTCTCAACTCTGGCTGTTGGGAACATGAACTATTCCTATTCTCATCCTTGTGAGCTCTACAAATGGTACTGTCTGTTCATTATGGTGGTTTTTGTGTAGTTTCTCATAAACTTGTCAGAGACTTGAGGAGAACTCTTTGCCTATCTCCAGAGCTCTGTTTTTCTTTCTCCTTTCTGCTACTCTGTTCTGTGAACTCTAGCCATTGACCTCCCCAAATCCTCAACCTCAACTCACAGAGACCACTAAGCTTTGAATGAGTTTCCCTTACCTGTGATGAGGTCTGGAAACTCTCTAGGCAATCACAGGGCTCACCTGAAGGGTCAATATCCAGCACTGTCTAGCATCTGACATCTCAAAACTACTGTTTCCCATATTCTGTTAGATTTCTGTTATTGTTTAAGACTGCAGCTGTGATAGTACAGTGGTTAGTACTCTGCGTTGTGTTTAAGACTGCAGGGTAAGTCTGGACCCTGTTATCCTGTCATGGCTGAGAAGTGGATGTGGAGCATGGGGTATTTACATTGTTTCAAAGGAACTCTCCACAAAATATTTTCCAATTACAAAGAGAAAGAGACTAACTTTACATAGAAAAGCCTGGCAGACATCATTTTAATGAAGTGACCAAAACAAACATCATCAAAAATGGGACAAATTGGAATCATGTGCCATTTTATAACAATGGTCCTTAACTGAGAAGATCACAGCTTTACTTCTGTGATATTCTTGCCAAAGCTGAACCTAATCATGAGGAAACATCAGAAAAACTCAAACTGAAAGACATTCTACAACACAATTGACCTGTGAACTGTGTAAACATTTTGGAAATTAATTGGTAACAACTATAAAAGATGTTTATAGCCTATGACATAGCAATCTGACTTCTAAGTACATAATTCTAAAGAAATTGATACATATGCACAAGAAGAAACCTACTGGAACATCCATATGGTATTATTATACCAGAATGCGAAAATCAACTTAAATACCCACCAAGAAGAGAATGCTGAAATGCATAGCACTGGGAAAGAATGAACGAAAGCTGCACATACCAACATGCATAAATCCCATCAACAATGATGAGTAAAAATAATCTCTTACAGACATGCATGGGAATTATGACAGCAGATTTACAGGGTGGGTAGGAGGAGGAAATAGGATCTGGAATATGCCAGCAGTTTCAAATGTATTTATAATGTTTCATTTCCTAGGATAAAGGGCATACACAGGTTTTCATTATGTTATTCTTTTTACCTTTCTTTAAAATTGAAAACCTTTTTTATTGAAAATTGTTGCTAATCTAAATTGGCAACATTTTCATCCAAAGAAGTTAAAATAAAACATTGCTAAAATGGATCCATTTATCATGGGTTTTCTGGAAAATGTACTCATAAGGAAGTTGGACACAGGTACTATCAGATAACTTCATCAGATTAACAAATAATTCCCAAAACATCCAGCTAATTTTGACAGCAAGGTTATTGGTTTGATTTAGAACCTGTCCAAGTTGATAACTGTCCAGATTTGAATAACTGACAAAGCTTTATCATAACTTAAAGGTTGAGTAGGATGGCCATTATCAAACAGTACTGATGAGTAATCGTATATAGGACATTTACTATGTGGCTGTAGACAGCTATACACATTCAACTTCATCAAAAAATATAAAATAACTTACCAAGTGAAAGTGGTATTTTTAATCAGGAGTCATGGACACAGATCAGATGAGTGTACAGGATAAGAGAACACTCTAGAGTTTACAGTTTTCTATCAAAAGTAACAAGGTAGAGTTGTTTCTTTCATAATCTGTGGACAAAAACAATTGAGAAGTAAAAAATTCCTCTGGACTGGACATGTAGGCCTAAGAATGGTTACTTTTGGGGCACCTGGGTGGCTCAGTCAGTTAAATGTCTGCCTTGGGCTCAGGTTGTGATCCTGGGTCCTGGGATCGAGCCCCACATTGGAGGCCCTGCTCAATGGGGAGCCTGCTTCTCCCTCTCTCTCTGCCCCTCACCCCTGCTCTCTCTCCCTTTCTCTCAAATAAATTTAGAAATAATCTTTAAAAAAAAGAAGAATGCTTACTTTCACGGTAATCTTAAAAAAAAAAAAAAGCCAGTAAAAGTGGTTATATGTACAGGTTCCTAAAATGCTAATGACTTCACAACTGAATAGATACCAGATTGCTTTCTGAGATCATCCCAATCCCCGACCCTTTATACCCCATTCCTACCTAGATCCTAACACAGAGAACTGCTTTGTGGCTTTTCAAACTTCCAAAATTTACAGAAGGATGTTGCCATTTCTACCGAAGGATATATTTTGGATACATCATTCTGGCCACAAAACAGCATCTGGCATTTAGCATATTCCTTTTGAAAAATAAGTTGCAAACAATGTTTTTTTTCTTTGAAAATTTGTTTTTTTTAATATATTTTTTAAAGATTTTATATATTTATTCATGAGCAACACAGAGAGAGAGACAGAGAGAGAGGCAGAGACACAGGCAGAGAGAGAAGCAGACTCCATGCAGGGAGCCTGACGTGGGACTCGATCCCAGGTCTCCACAATCACGCCCCGGGCTGCAGGCGGCGCCAAACCGCTGCGCCACTGGGGCTGCCCTCTTTGAAAATTTGTAATCAAAGAATTCTTTGGAAAGATAACCCACATGCAGTAAGATTTGCATAATGCCTTCCATAAATCATGAAAGATCTGTTTTTATATTTATATTAATTTGGATATTCTTGTTACATCACACATGCAGAAAGCACACATATGCAGAAGAGCATATATATGCCCTTCAACTTCCAAAAGATTTTGAAAGGTTGTAAATGAAAGCACAGAATAAAATCCATAGATACAAAAGAGTCAAGTAATGAGGAGGGTGAAGGAAGAAAATGAGTTACACTAGAGAGTTTTATCAGATGGCAGTCTGTGATCAGTCACACAAAACTTCTTCCCAAGGGCTCCTCTAAGTCAGGATGGTGTAAAGCAGCAGACACAGGCAGAAAGTTTCATTTAGAGACTCTGAGTCGACCCAGGCAGAAAGTGGCAATAATACTCTCCATCCTCTAGGACTTGGCTTGTGACCTACACCATGCTCCATCTCAAGGCTTCCACCAGCAGCCCCAATAACAAGGAACAATCAAGTGACTCCTCCGCACAAAAGGCCAGAGCTTTTAACATTGCTCTCTATCACCTTTTCTTCATCTTTTTTTTTTTTTTTTTTTTTTTTTTTTTTTTTGCATAACTAAGGTGGCTTTGGGAGAACTTCTAGAAAACATAACTGGGGAGTCCCTGCATCCTTGAGACCACAGACTTGGTCGCTAAGTCACTGAGAGAAGTCTCGCCACAGCCAAGTTTTGCTGGTCACAGCAGTGCACTAAATGCTGGACATTTGTCAGGAGCTTGAGGATCAAAAGGTTACTGAACATTTCCCACTTATTACTTCCTAGACTTTCTGTTCTGGCTTTTTCCTCTCTCCCTTGCTGTGCCCTGAACTCCAGGCAGAGGATTTTATGTTTATTGTAGAATGAACCGATAAAGGGAAATGGTGGAACTGGGAGGACTTTCTGTTAACGTGACTCATAAACTTTAATGGTTTATTACCCTGAAAGACATCCAATTACCACAGCTCTAATATCTTGCTAATCTTGTATTAAGTTTTTTTAAAGGGCAAAATGTCAATGAATAGTAGTATCTCTACTTTCCATTTTCTGAAAATTAAGCTGAATCTTAAAATGATATCATGAAAGTAAAATGCTTAACTCATCAGATTAGAGTATGGTTAACACATAAACATTTTCCTACTATTATTTTCCAGGTTAACTTAGAATTCCTCTTTCAACACATCATATCATAGAATAATTTGTCAACAAGAATATTCAGCATGACTTAAGGAAACATCAAGATATTCTAAATTTCTTAATGTGAGAAGCACTCTGCATTTGCTGGTCCACAGGTAACATAAAGCAGAAATGTTACTTAAACTTAGAGAATTTTTTCCTCAGTTGATCATGGAAGAGAGGTAACACTGCCCTTTGAAATAATAATTGGCTACTTTTTGTCAAATTATATTTATAAATGCATATGTAGAAAGATAAAATATAACCAAATCAGCATGATGTTACCTCAAGTCTGATTTTTGTCAACTTATTCTAAATCATAATTATGCCTAAAAATTGACAATGGATGAGTATTTTTCTCTAAAATTTCTCTAGCACAACCAAGCACAAAGTAGTGGTTCTAGAGGTTGGATTTATTATAACTAAATGAAATAAATTTGCAATTTTCCTCAATATTCCCTAAAGGTAAAGAATGAGAATTTACACTTGGAATTACTTCTAGGTTATTATGTTTCTAACACAGTAAATTGGCCCATAGAAGCAGTACCCTCTACTAACACCTAACAAAAAAATTGTTTCTCGTTCTGAAGAAGATATTATCTTCAGACATTCCAAGTTTTGAGTTATAAACATCCAGACCCCTTAAAGAAGAAAAACAAAAACATTTTCAGTTGGGAAACGTTTCACTAAGCTTTTATTGTCTTATCAAACTGGATGTCATGAAACTAGGTTTCATTTTTCATTAAAGATGGAACTTTGAGTGGAGGGAAATAGATTCTTATATATGCTCTTTACAGATTAACCGGAAAAAATCAATATATTTTCTTTTTTAAAATAACACAAGATTATAGAAAAGAAAGGGGAAATCACCCAAATCCCACTATCACTTAGATAAAACTAGTTTTAATTTTTTGCTGAATATCCCTCTAAGTATTTCAAATTATGATAAAATATACCTAAAATCTACCATTTTAATCATTTTAAGTATACGACTCAGGCATTAAGGACATGCACAATGTTGTGCAACTGTTGCCAGAATTTTTTCTTTCTTTCAAAGAGAAACTCTGTATCCATTTGTTATGGATTGAATTATGTCCCTCAAAAAGAGATATTGAGGTGCTAACCCCAGTACCCCAGAATGTTACCTTTTTTGGAAATAGGGTCTTCATAGAGGTAATGAGATGAGGCCATCAGGGTGGAGCCTAACCCAATATAGCTGGTGTCCTTACAAGGGAATTTTGGACAAACACAGACATGCACAGAGGAACGATGATGTGAAAAGACACAAGGAAATGCCATGAGAAGGAAGAGGATAGGTGTGATGCATTTATAAGTCAAGGAATACCAAAAAATGCCAGCAAACTACCAGAAGCTAGAAAGAGGCAAGAGGCAAGGAAGGATGACTCACCTACAGGTTTCAGAAGGAACACGGACTTGCTGATACCTTGATTTTGGACTTCCAGCCTCTAGAACAGAGAAAATGAGTATCTGTTTTTTAAGCTAGTACCAGTTTGAGGTGGTCTGTTATGGCAGCCCTCAGAAATAAACACACCATTATACAATATTAGCCTCTCTACTTCCCGAACCCCTGATAACCTTTATTCTACTTAATCACTATAAGTTTGCTATTTTAGGTACTTCATATAATTGGAATTTGTCCTTCTGTGTGTAACTATTCCACTTAGCATATTTTCAATGTTCATCTTATGTTGTAGAAAGAATCAGAATCTCATTCCTTCCTATGGGTGAATAATATTCCATTGTATGTATAGACCACATTCTGTTTAACCATTTATCTGTTGACAGACACTGGGTTATTTCTGTCCTAGCTACTTTGAATAATGCTGCTTTACACACAGGCATACAACTATCTGTGTAAGCCCCTTCTTTCAGTTCTTTTGGTTATGCACCTAGGAACTGCGAGGTATAAAGTCCAATTTATTACTCTTTTATGAATTGTATTTTGGGGTCATATGTAAGAATCACTGCCGAACTGAAAGTAAAAAAGACTTTCTCCTATGTTTTTTTTCTGGAAGTTTTATAGTTTTAGCTCTTACATTTATTTATTTATTTTTTAAAAAGATTTTATTTATTTATTCATGAGAGAAACAGAATGAGAGAGAGGCAGGGACACAGGCAGAGGGAAAAGCAGGCTCCATGCAGGGAGCCTGATATGGGACTTGATCCTGGGACTCCAGGATCATGCCCTGGGCTGAAGGTGGCACCAAACCACTGAGCCACCCGGGCTGCCCCTAGCTCTTACATTTAGGTCTATGAATGATTCACTTAGAACCAATTGTAGTGTATGGTATTAAGTAAGGATCTAAGTTCTAAGTTCTCTTTTCTTCTTCTTCTTTTTTTTTTCCTATTGTTTTGTTTTGTTTGCATCTGAACATCCAACTGTTCTACCATCATATTCTGGAAAGATAAGCATTTCCCTAAAGAATTGCTTTGTCAATTTTGTTTGAAATACCACATGCTTCTGGCCAACATGGAGTAATATTACCACTCTGCCTGAAACCAGGGAACAGACAATATACACGCAACAATAGTTTTCAAAACACTACACATTAGGCAACAGAGATCAGGGACCCTGAGAGGAAACAAATGAAGTGAGTTCTCCAGCTGTCTTAGCTTATACTACTTTGGTAGTTTCCAGGACATGATACCAGTAGCAGAAACCTAGTGGAGTTTGGGAGGCTCCTCGCAGGTGTAGGAAAAACAAGATGACTAGTTTGCAGGGCAGAATCCCAGAGAGGAGAGGGCTGCAAACCACCGCCTCAAGCACTCGGCTGAGTAATGATCAGCAATGAAGAAGCCGCCTGAGGCCTGGGAGAGCTCCATCCAACAGGGTTAGAGGGAACACTACCAAGGATCAAGAAATGTGCCTGATCTCTCCAGCCAGGCAGATTCATGATTCAGAAAGCACCAGGTAAACAAGAGGGTCTTGCCTCTGTAGTGGGGAGTAATTAGGCCAAAGCACACCACTACTCTGTTCGGGTATAATAAGCTCAAAAGCAACATCCAAAAGGATAAAACAGTTTCCAAGTACTTTAACTATGTCCCACAACACAGCTCTAAATATGTCATTAATACAAAAATATTCAGCATCCAAAAAGGTCAACTTAATTATGTCTGGCATCCAACAAAAGTGATCAAGCATGTGAAAAAACATGAAGTTATGACTAGCAATCATCAGAGAAAATCATCTGTCTTTTTTATATCTGTTCAGTCTTTCATCAAGCATGATTAACTGTAGGTTTTTTAAATGCCTTTACAATGTTGAAGAAATTCCCTCCCATTCATAATTTGTTGAGTTTTTATCAAACATGAGACTTCAATTTTGCCAAGTGATTTTTCTGTATCTAGGATAATCCTATCTTCCCCTAATTCTATTAACATGATTTATGTTGTTTTTTTAATAACAGCTTTGAGATATTCATATACCATGTAATTTACCCATGTAAAATATATATTCAATAGTTGTTAGTATATTTAGAGTTGTCCAATCATTACTACAAGTTTAGGACATTTTCATCACCTCTAAGAAAACCCATATACTCATGAATATTCGCTCCCCACTTTCCACAAGCCACCAACTGATATTTTTTGTTCCCATGGATTTGCATGTTTTGGACCTTTCACATAAATGGAAACATACAATCTGTACATGGTCTTTGTGATTGGATTCTTTCATTTGGCATCATGTTTTCAAGACTCATCCACAGTATATCTACGTACCAGTACTTCATTGCTTTTTATTGGTAAATAATATTTCATCGCATGGATATACCACATTATTTATCCATTCATCAGCTGACAGACGTTTCAGTTATTTCCACTATTATGAATAATGATGGCCTAAGCATTTATGTACAGGTTTTTACATAGATGTATGTTTTCATTTTTCTTGGGAATTATACCTAGGAGTGGGACTGCTGGGTCATATAGCAACACTATGTTTAACATTTTGAAGAAATGTCGGGATATTTCCAAACGTGGCAGCACTGTTTCACGTTCCCACTGGTAGTGGGCAAGGCTTGTGATTCCTCCATATCCTCACCACCACCTGCTACTGTCATTTTCACGATAGCCATCCTAGTGGGAATGAAATGGCACTGTGGTTTTAATTTGCATTTCCCTGATACTAATGACTTGGAGCCTCTTTTCACATTATTAGCCATTTGTATATCCCTCAGAGAAACGTCTATTAAGATCCTTTGCTCATTTTTAATTTAGATTGCCTTTTCATTATTGAAATGTAGGAGTACTTTATTCTAGATACAAAAACCCCTTATCAAATATGTGGTTTATAAACAGTTTATCCAACTGTGTAGGTTGTCTTTCACTTTCTTCATGGTGGTTTTAGAAGCACAGAAGTTTTGATTTACAGTGTACTTGTTTTTCTTTTATTGCTTGAGTGTTGGTAACATATCTAAGAAACCACTGCTTAATCCTAGGTCATAATAATTTTTTCAAATTTTATTTATTTATTCATGAGAGACACACAGAGAGAAGCAGGGTCCATGCAGGGAGCCCGACGTGGGACTCGATTCCAGGATTCCAGGATCACGCCCTAGGCTGAAGGCAGATGCTCAACTGCTGAGCCATCCAGGCATCCCCACGGTCATAATTTTATGGTTGTGTTTTCTTCTAAAAGTTTAATAGTTTTAGCTAACATTTAGATCTTGAATTCATTTTCAGTAAGTTTTGTATATAATAGGGGGTTTGAATTCATGCTTTCTCATCCTTGGCACCCTTGTCAAAAATCAACTGACCAGAGATATATATGGGTTTATTCCTTAAGTCTCAACTGTATTCCACTGGTCTATATGCCTATCTTTTTGGCAGTAATGCACTGTTTTGATTATTGTCACTTTATATTAATTTTGAAATTAGGATATGTGAGTCCACCAACATTGTTCTTTTTCAGGATTGTTTTGGCTATTCTGAGGCCTCTTGAATTTCCACATGGAGTTTAGATCATCTTATCAATTTCTGTAAAGAGCCACTGATGGGACTGAATTGAATCTGTAGACAGAATATCACTATCTTATAAGTTTTCTGATCCATAAACATGACTGTCTTTTGTTAGAAGGCAGAGGAGGGGCATTAATATATTGTCCGGAGTGAGAAGGCACTTTAATATTGAAAAGTTAAGCAAGCCACTCCATATCATTTACACATTTTATTCAGGGTAACTTGTTGATGGGGGATCAGGCAGGTGGACAGGTGATCCAGGTGGTATGCAGGCATTCTCACAGCTATTCTCTACCCAATCCCGACCTTACTCCCTAGCTTTTATGGAGTGAGGGGCATGGTGGTGAGGTCACAGGGTAGTGGGGCCCTCTGTGCACCAGTTATTTCTCCTGGTCACCTGAAGTGCTCCCTTCTGTGCATCACTTTAGGGGAGATCCAAACAAGCCTTCCTGCATTCCAGTATGGTGTACATTAACCTCCAAAGGGCCTGGAACACGTAGCCCCTAGGGAGTCATTGCATAGGCATGAACAAGATGGAGAGCCAAAGATAGATTCAGTGTTGTCAGCATTCCTACAGTCTTACCATATACATTTAGGTCTTTGACTTTTATGTTTGGTACTTTTGGAATGTAAGTGTTGTGGGTTAAATTGTGTCCCCTCAAAAGATATAGAAGTTTTAACCCATCCACTATTTGTGAATGTGATCTTATTTAGAAACAAGGTCTTTGCAGATCTGAGTTAAGATGAAGTCATTAAGGTAGGCCTCAATTCAGTAGGACTGGTGTCTTTATATAAGGGAGAAATGTGGACACACAGACACAGACATACATAGAACACCTTGTGATCAGGGTGATGCAGCAGGAGCCAAGGAATGCCAAAGATTACTAGCAAACCATCAGAAGTTGAGAGAGGCATAAAACACATTTTCCCTCACAGCCCTCAGAAAGAACCAGCCCTGCTAACACTTTGATTTTGGAGTTGTAGCCACCAGAACTATGAGAAAATAAATTTCTGTTGTTTAACGCAACCAGTTTGTGGTGCTAATTTATTATGCAAGCTAATACCGTTAAGTTTTGTACTTTTTTTTTCTAACTTTATTCTTAAGTATTTTATTCTTTTTGATGCTACTATAGATTATTGGTTTTTCATTATTGGTTTATTCATTGAAAGTGAGTCTTCAGTATTGGTTTCTGAATTTCATTATTAAGGTTCTTAATTTCATTGTTGGTTTGTTCATTGAAAGTTGAGTCACAATATAACTGATTTTTGTATACTGATCTTGTATCCTGTAATCTTGTTAAACTTGGTTATTTTTCAGTGTATTCTTTAGGATTAAAAAAAAGATTTTATTTATTTATTTGAGAGAGGGAGAGCACGAGTGAGATGGGAGAGGGACAAGCAGACTACCACGGAGCACAAAGCCCATCACAGGGCTCAATCCCAGGACCCTGAGATCATGACCTGAGTTGAAGCCAGATGCTTTACT